TATGCTCAGTTTTATAAGAAATCGCCCAACTGTCTTCCAAAGAGGCTGTACCATTTTGCCTACCCATCAGCAATAAATGACAGTTCCTATTTGCTCCATATCCTCATAATTTGGTGCTGTCAGTGTTTTGGATTTTGACCATTCTAATAGGCTTTCATTGTTGTTTAAATTTGCAATTCCCTGATGACATATGATGTGGAACATCTTTTCATATGCTTACTTGTCATCTGTATATCTTCTTTGGTGAGATATATATCTTTTTAGGTCTTTTGCATATTGTTTAATTGGGCTGTTCATTTTCTTATAGTTGAGTTTTAAAAGTTCTTCGTATGTCTTAAATAACAGTCCTTTATCAGATATGTTTTTGTAGGGATTTGCTCCCAGTCTGTAGCTCATTGGCCTTAATTTTTTAAAACAATTAAAACCACTTTCCAGAATTCTCATCATAATGCCAAAAGTGAAGCCCAAATAATTGAATCATGAAATATAAAATATGGGATTAAATGTATTGCCAGTTGGAGTTGAGTTGGCTTTAGAGGGTGGAAGCCTATAGCCAGTCCCTTCATATCTGAATCCACATTATCTCAGGGTTTTGTTGTATAGCTGCCTGGAACTTGATGCTGTTTAGGGGTAATAAAATCAGAATCCTATCTCTTTCTAAAAACTAATCTTGGGGCAGGGCTTGTTTTGAAAGATCAGGAAAAGATTTTGGGAGATGTAAGTCAGGGCCACTAACTGCTGTGTTATTTGTTTCTTTTACCTCATGATTTCCTAGACAGGGCTTTCAACTGGTTTAAATATTTGAGCAAATTTATTCATTATCATCTTTCAGTTTATGATGATACTCATTTCAAAATATTCAAAACTGGGTGGCCAGTTAGCTCAGTTGGTTAGAGCACAGTGCTCATAACACCAAAGTTTCCGATTTGATCCCCACATGGGCCACTGAGTTTGCGAACTCCACAACTAGATTGAAACAACTACTTGACTTGGAGCTCATGGGTCCTGGAAAAACACACTGTCCCCAACTACTTTCTAACTCTTCTCCATCTCTTCCACTTGTGGTACAGTAATATACAACAGTGCATATTTTAAATATTTTTTTTCTAATGATATGAATAACATGGGCTCAATACAGAGAGCTTGGAAAACCCAGAAATGCACAAAAGAAAAAAGAGCTTACTTAAACCTCCCTTAATATTGCCATGAAAAAGTAACTACTGCTGACATATTAATAATGTCATTCCTCCTAGCGTTTATATGTTTCTACATATAATTTTCCTTTTAAAATAGTATAATACTATACATTATTTTACAGTAGACTTTTTAATATAGCATTTTTCCAGGCAAAATGTAATAACTCAAACTGGCTTCATGCCAGGATGCTGGAGTTGAAAACCTTGGGAATGACACTTAACTCCTTGGGCCTTTGCATCCTTGTCTGAAAAGCGAAGAATTTTTTGCTATTCTCCTGCCAAAGCCTATTTTTGGGTGAAATCTTGTCACTGTGCTACAGCCTAAGGACTCTATGCAACAGCCCCCAGTTTCACATATCCTAGTTTATACATCTTTTTATTATTTGTTAGTATATAATTTTCCAACTTCCCTATGCACATCACTTGAATATGCCTTATTATTTTTGCTAGAAATTTTCGTGATTCAGCTGACTAGTCTTTAAAATTAAAGAGTAAAAAAAAAAAAAAGTACCCATCTTTTCAGCAAAAAAGGAGGACAAAAGAGAAACTAAAAAATCATCAATGGTTGGGCTTTACTCTCACTATTCAAAGAGATAAAAGCATAAAAGTATAGGATAGAAATCACTATATTTCAATTCAATTCAAACAATTATGATTTAGTAGGAAGAAAAAGTAACAAACTCAGGGACCAAAATAAAGCAACATTAATAGAAGAAGGATGGAACAGGATTTGGAAACTCTAAGGAAACCAAACTAGAAAGGAAATTACATTGTCTAAAGAAGGGGAGTTAGATGTGGTTTTAATTATTTTCAATTATATAAAAGACATAAGCCTGTTGTGTGTCTTTTCTATCAAGAACCAACAGGAAATTGGTTTAGGCTATTGTCAGATTAACTTAGACATTTAAAAACTGTTAAGAGATGGGAAACCAGACACCAAATGTACCAAAAATGGAAAATGTGCTTACCCTTTGTACAGGGACTGCTCTTGTATTCTGATATCTGCTCTTCTTATACAGTAGTAGAATCCCCTATTTTTTAGCTGGGCACAGGGCCTTCCGAAATACTTCCCAGTCAGGAATTAAGTTCTGGCCAAATCCATGTCAAGGGAAGGGTCTTTTAAGTTATTGTCCTTCAATCTTAGTCATGCAGGGCGCAAGCTCAGCTCCAAGTCCAGTTGCCACTTTCAAGCTAGTTGGGGGAGGAGGGACCCACCATCCCACGCAGGAGTCGAACTAGCAACGTTGTTGTTAAGAGCCCGCACTCTCACCAGCTGAGCCATCTAACAGCCCATTGGCAGCTCAGCAGCAGCTCAGCTCGGCACAGCTCACTAGCCCATGTGGGAATCGAACAGGCAACCCTGTTGCTCAGAGCTCCTGCTCTTAACCAACTGTGCCACCTGACCGACCCTCATGCAGAAAATTCTTAAATTTATATCTCCAGCCCAGAGTTTTTCCTCCAACCTCTAGATTTGTAAATTCAGCTGCTTCCTTGACATCTTCACTTGGGTGTCTCCTAGACATATCCAACTTACTATTTGCAAAATTAAATTCTTAATTCTGTACTAGAAAAACTCCTCCTCATTTGCATATCTCAGTAAATGTGATCAACACATCCACCCACTTATTAAAATCAGAAACCTGGGAATCACCCTTATCTCCTTCCTTTCCCTCTGCCCCAGCCCTATCCAATCCATCCGTAATTTATTAGTTACTTCTTTATCGAAAGCATATCTCAAACGTGTGTTTCCAGGGCCAGCATCCTAGTCCTGCAACAAAATCCTAAGAGCTATCACCTCTTCCACTCCTACCTGCTTCATTCATTCTCCACATAAAAGCCAGAGCAATGCAAATCAGATCATATTACTCTGTGCTAAAACTCCTGAATGACTTGCCATGGCACTTTGAATAAAATCTAAACTTCTAACCACTCAGGATCTTTGTATCCATTAGGCATTTCATTCCTGGCCCACTGCCTAAGAGCTGAGACCTTGTCAAGGACCTATAAAAAATGTTTGAGAAGGGGGGAAAAAAAGAACTGGCTCTACATTGTGTAATGGAAACTTCTTTCTTCTAAAAGTTACTGGTATCATTTCTGAAAAATGAACTACTATATTTAATGTAAAAATTCTTATACTAAGGATCAACTTTTGACTCCCTTTTTTCATTTGTAGATTAAGTGGAAAAATACCTGATTTTGACATGTTACTCTTATCCTTACCATTATGTAACCTAGCTACTCTGGGATGGTCTTAGACTGTTGTCCTGGTAATCTGTTCCACTTCCTGACTCCTCCCTGCAAACAAAATGGCATTGACACTTCATCCTGATTCTTTTTCTTTGTGGTTTATGCCTATTCTAATTAAATATGTATAAATAAAGTAAAAAAAAAAAGAACTGGCTCTAAAAAACTACAAAGTCAAATTTAATATATGTTTGTGACTACATAATATAACAATATGTTGTCAACTAATCCTAAATTTCAACTCCACCTTTATGTAGTTACTTATATTTTTTTATTTTAATGAAGGATGTGGGTACATATTATTGGGTTGTCAGAAAAGTCATGACGTATTTTTTTTATGTTTTTCGTTGCAAAAATGTGTCACGACTTTTCCAACAACCCAATATTTTGTTGGCTATAAGGTGGTGTGGGTCCCTTTTTAGGAGTAGACAGGGCTGACGGAGGTTCTAAAATGGCCCTCTTTTAGGGCCTTTATATAAGGTCCTGCTTATCCCAATCTGTGCCTATCTCTCCATGGTCTCTATAATGCCACTCTCCTCCTTTCTCACTAAACTCAGCCAGCCAGCCTTGCAAATTCCTAGAACATACCAAAATCTTTCCTGCTGTTCCCTTTCCTCCCAGCCCTTATCCTGACTCCTTCCCATCTATTCTCAAATTAAATGTAGCCTCCTCAAAGGAACCTTCTTCACCAGTCTTTCTAAAGTAGGCACGCATGGCCCCCTTGCCTTCATATTTTCTGCTGCCTATTTCCTGCATAACATTGCTCTCCATCTGTAGTTTACTTTGTGTTTATTCTATCTTTCCCATTAAACTAATAAGCTCCACTAAAGCAGGAAACTTATCTGTCTTGTTCTGTCATATCCTTAGGGCCTACTCCAAGTGACTGGCCCAGAGCAGGCCTCAATAAATAGCCCCTGAGTGAATGAATAAACGAACCGGAATTTAATCTTCAAGGGAGCAGGGCTAAGCTAGAAAGATCAGTCTTGGACTCCATCTTGAGAGGCTGGCGGCATTCAACGGCCTTTGGTTCTAGGCAGTCAGATAGGTTTCAAAAGGAATGTTTGGAGGTGTTTTCCAACAGAAGTTTTGATGAAAGCTCTTGTAACTTACCCTATTGGGGTGGGGATGGGGGAAATTAAAAATCACTCAAAACTAGGTTGAAAGGAAAGGAAGTGGTTTGGAGCAGAAGTGTGGCTCGCCATGTTGGGACTCTTCCTTTGCACGCTCCCCTCCCCAAGACTCTTAACGGCTCCATTCCTTCCGATGTCCAGCCTAAAGCAAAGGATTGCTTTAGCCTGGGTTCGGGCACCAAGGACCTCGTTGATTATTCACGAGGGAGGAGGGCACTATGGGAGACCGGGGTTCTTACTATTCATGAGGAGGCGGGGCCTCCTTCCCGCTGGGACTCCTGGGAGGATTCTAACGTGTTCTCCAGGCCTCTGAGACGCAAGCGAGGCGGGACGCAGGTCCGGAGCTGGTCGTAGCGGTGCTCTCTCTTCCCGGCGGGAAAATCTTGAGGAGGTTTTTTTAAAAAAAAACTAAGAAATTTGAGAATGGTGGGGCTAAACGACTAAATCCCATCTTCCTGTGATTCTTTAGCCGGAAAACTGTCAAAATCTGTGGTAAAAAGATTTGTTTTCCCCAGTACTTTCTTGAGGTAGTTTCAACTCTTGGTGGACTGATGATGGTGGTGAAAAATGCATCCCAGTGTGTTTTGATTCCTATATTGGCCAGTTTCCATTTTATGGCTTCCCGGGTTTACCTCTTTGGAGATGTTTTGGCCTAATACCCGAGCATGTCGTGTGGGATCGCTTCAGAGGGTTCTCTTAGGTTCAAACGAAATCGAAATCCCGGTGACTTGATGTGGGAGGGTTTTCTGTGAGAGGAAAAAAGTTCGTCCAAGAGGGCGCTCAAAGCCTTTCACGAATAGTAAAAAATGAATGGGATAGAACGGAGGCATCGAAACATTTTTTTGCTATTATTTTGGCCTGGGATGGTCGTCCTCCAGGAGGCGTAAGGGGAAGCCGGCAATGATTTGGGATTACACCTTTAAAATTTTCAGAAAAGCCTGCTGCTGTCTCCCCCAAGTCTCTCCCTCAGGTCTGAGTGAGGAAAATAAGGAATAGGAGAAAGAGACTTACAGTTTTAAGAGAATTTTTGCCATCCTATCTTAATCTTCTCAGAAATTTAAAAATATATGTACCCAGTGATTGACACACTGAAGTCCCCCCAGCGCCAGGTTTCAGGGAGTCTGAAGAGCCCACAAGCCGTACCCAAGTCCCTCTTTACAAGTTCCTCAGAGAAGCAGGACGAGTCCTAGGCCAGATTTATATTTTATTATAATGAAAATGCTTTAAAATGCCTACTGTGAGGAAACAAAACAACAACAACAAAAAAAAACCCCTCATGAATTAAGTTAATATTTTTCCACTTGGTGGATGTATATGCAACTTTTAAAATATATTACTTGTAAAAGTGTATTAGCATGGAAATTAAAATTTTAATTATAATTACAATTGAAAAAGCAGATCACAAAATAGAATGAATAATGATCTCCTTTTCCTGTTAAAAAGAATGAATAATGATCTCCTTTTCTTGTTAAAAAGAAATATACATGTGAAATGCTGGAATAATATAAACCAAAGCATTTATAAGCAGATTTAATCTTTTGTTTTGCTGTGTTTTGTAAGCATTTTGACAATGCACATGTTACTTGTATAATTTTAATAATTATTTTAAAATACTAATTTAAATGCTCGTTTAATGCTGAAGCAAAGTGCTATGATATGATGGTCTTAAAGGAGGTTCACAGTATGCTTTTCACTAAGCACTAAATTTTTTGGCCATGTTTTCAAATGTGTAACTGATTTCAAATTGATATTAGTTGATATGTAACCTAAAATGAATAAGTAACAATGTGATTTTAGCAATTTTCTGACAAAAAGGAGAAAATGTGTTTGGGTCAGATATATTTGTAACTTTGATGAAATGTCTTAGTTGTTACTTCAGGAACAAGAAGCTTTAGACTGGAGTTGTGATTATGCATATGTATATGTATATATACAAAAGACAGTGTTTCCTTTATTGGAGCAATAGTGAAACAAATTTACTGTGTGTGGTGAATAATTGTTTTAAAAGAATTCTTGTTTAGTGTAAATAAATTATCAGTGATTTTAATAAATTCCCTCTAAAAAATGTTCATTTTGAAATCAAATTGTGTAGGACCTTCCTGAAACTTATCAGTATTATTAACGAAGAGTGGAATTGAGGGGAAATTTTTTATTCATTTATTTATTTGAATCTTATTAAATTTACAAGACTTTGATTTCACTGCTTATTTGCATTATACATCACATAACTGATAATAGTAATACATTTTTAATCAGTTAGAGCTGGTAAATTTTAAAAGCTCAAAACTTAGTCTATTTTTTATCTTTTTGTTTTTATTGTTGCTAACGAAACACATCTACTCAGTTTTAAAGAAACAGAAAAACAGTACTCCAAAGTTTTAAAGCTACATTAATACTTTGATTTTCTTAGAATGTAAAGATTGTAAAAGCAATATTCTAATTGATAGATATTGAATGTATTTAATTTATTATATTGTTTTCTTTTGTGTTAAATCTTTTACTTTAAAAAACTTTTGCATATTTCTTTTCTTAGAATATATCTCGTCAAAAACGTGTCTTATTTTCTACTAAAACTCTTAATCTATCTAAAATATTTGGCTAAGAGGGAAAAGACTTTAAAATATTTCATATCATGCTGAAATGAATAATAGACTATACTAGTGGGAACTCCATAAATTGGACATCATATTAAAAGCTTTGTAAATATAGAGAGACAGCTATTGCCCATAAAAGTTCAACCTCTTCATTTAAAAAAACTAAAGTTGTTCATCACTATAATTTCTTTTCTTTTTTGTCTCTTGTACTTTGTTTTTCTAACCAGGATAAATTCACGAAATAAGAAAAAGGATGGCATCTAGAATAAATACCGATTTCACTTTGATTCCCAAGCACAAATATAGACGTAGTAATCGTCGATCCAGCTATATTTCCAATAACAACCTTGACTCAGATTCTCAGCCTTTATCAGCACTTGGAAACTTTAAAGCCTTGCCACTGGAAGTATTCCAAATAATCTTAAGATATTTGTCAGGTGAGGTTTGGGGACTATGAGTAGGCTACACAAACACTCGAATATTTTTATTTTTCCCAAGACCTAGGTTGTCATCGAAGGCCCTGCTAGAATTAATGGTGTTCACATTAAGTTTATTTTCTAAAGTTTCATCATTGTTGGGTAAGGGCTACAATGAGAAAGTACAATACTGGGCCAGCCGAGTGGCTCGGTTGGTTAAGAGCACAAGCTCTGAGCAACAGGGTCGCCGGTTCGATTCCCACATGGGCCAGTGGGCTGCACCCAAGCTGAGCTGCCCTGAGATGCCCTGAGATGCCCTGAGATGCCGACTGGCGGCCAGATGGCGACTAGGCTTGGAGCTGAGCTAGCTGCACCCTCCACAACTAAGACGGAAGAACAACAACTTGGCTGTTCCCCTTCCCCAATTCCCCCCAACACTGTTTGCCTTCCCCAATTCCCCAATAAAATCTTAAAAAAAAAAAAAAGAAACCATGATACTCAAACTCTTTAAAGCATGTTTCTAATTATAATGACATTGTAACTTGACTAATACATGCCAAAATGTTTCTAATTCATGGAGCACTGGATTTAAAACTATTTTAAGATTTTCCTCATTTTTATTATTTAATGTTATTATTATTTAGTATTATTAATGAGCCAACTTATACATTAATACATTGTACTACTAGTGACGTTCTTGTATTTAAGCCATTCATATATATGTATATATGTTTTTTTGGTAGTGAAAGATATCAGCATGCTAAGCATGGTGTCCAAGACAATCAGCCAACACATTATTAATTATATCTCAACATCATCAGGAAGCAAAAGATTTTTACTACAGGACTTTCATAACATTGAGCTGCCTGGCAGGAAAAAAGACTCGGTTATGCTGGAACACTACAGATTTCTAGGTAATTTATGTAATCCGATTATAACAAGTAAAGAACCACAATTAAGGGGATTTTATTATACACAACTCTGTAAGGCCCATGGGAAATAGAATGTTTCTTAAATTGTGCCTGTTGCTATGATGCTTTTACTCTTCACTGTGAGGACTTGCCCTTAACAATAGCCCCTTACGCTTATCTTTAAAGATGACAGAATGAACTTTAATGTAAAGTGTCAGTCCTTGTGATTTCATGTGGATACAATGTCACCTATGTTTATTATCTAGGTGGCTAACCAGTTTAGGAAATTGAGGTATTTTCTATGCTTTACCTCTGGTGGATTTAATGAGTTTTATCTTTATACCTGTTTTCCCTTTCAACCATAATCTATTCCTTAAAATAGAAAAGAAATTTAAACACATTATTGTGGAAGATCAATTATTCTTTTATCAAAAACAATGGTTTTCTTTTTTAAGCACTGTACACATTTAATAATAAATCGTTATGCTATGATTAAATTAATCTTGTCAAAGGAAATTTGTATAATCTTTCTTCCCTTGATTTGTCTTCATTTATGTCTTTTACCCCATTCATTTATTTCATTCTCCCTAAGAGTGCTGAAATAAAATTCTAATTTTGACTTGATTAAAGACACCAATTTAATACGCAATCACTTTATAATTAACCAAAGCATGGCAATAGAGTCAAATATCAAAGTGATGTTGAGATTTAAATAAAGGCATAATAATAAGTTAAGTGAATATTACCTTTCAGCAGCCCAAGGATGCCTATCTTTAAGATAATAAGACTTTATAGATGTATAAATATATCAAAGCATATTTGACAAGTATATTTAATAAAACTAAATAAAAAATATGTAATCTAATTACAGCGTGATTGGCTTTCAGTATTTATGATTAGGCTTAGTAAAGCTTGTAACAGAATATAGTTACTTTTTGCTACCTGTCATTGTAAATATCTTGTTTTCAAACATTTGTTGCAGAGGAAGTGATACTTGGGTAAAAGCTTATTCTTTGCTTTTGATCTAAAAGAATATTTTCTCTCTGACCAAGGCTCAATTGCTTAAACAAATAAACAAAAAAGCATTAAGACAATTATTTGGATAATTCTGTCAAAAAATACAAATGTGTACTGATCTTAATAGCTAGCTTTTTAAAACGGTTTTATTCATATAATGATTTCAGTCTTCCATTTAATTTTGATGCAGACACCTGGCTTATGACTGATTCTTTAGGTAAATGTTTGATGTACTCACAATTTTTTCATGTTGCCATTCCTATCTGATCTGTTCTTGTTTTCAGGCATTAAAGTAACATTTTCAGAATCCTGCACTCTGAAGATTATAAATTTTAATTTGCTTCTTCATACAAAACAGAGCAGATGGCCAATGTGGAAGGAACATTACATCTGACTCTATTTTAGTGTGAAGAAATTAAAGAAGTTGGTCTCTAAAGGGTATAGCAAAGCACCTGTGTTAAAAAGTAAATAAGTCAGCCAGTATTGGTTTTTATGGTAAATTGCAACCCTCAAAAATAGGAGTTTTGCATTAGAAAAGGCGGTCAACATACAATTATAACTTACAATTCCCTAGCTATCATATGCCATGGGACTGGATGCCAAAACATGAAAAGAACTCAGCCTTAAAACCAAACGCTGAAAATGTCTTTTTATGTCCAAAAATAGGGAGAGTTTATGTTTAAAACTCAATTCTGGTCATGTGTTAGCCAAACATAGCAACTTCTAAAAATAAATTGATTCCTTTAGATTCTATAGAATTATATAAAGTAGTTATTTTATTATGTTAAAAAGTAAATGCAGAAAAGATAAAGCTGAAGAAAGTCATGATATTCAGGTATATTTTCATATCTTACTGGTATATCTTTTTTTAGTTTGAGGACATTTGCCCTCGTAGGAATGTTAACAATGTATTACCATTTTAGGAAAACAGACCACTTAAAGTTAGAGGAAACAAATCATACGCTTCCTGTCACTCTAAGTTACGTATCTCATTGGGAAATTAAAGGGTTTCTTTTTTCTTTTTTAAACATCTGAACATAAAATTCTATACATTCTTAACATGCAAGCTCCATAAAAGGATATCTTTGAAGGAAGAAATAGATATTTCATCCAAACTGGCTACTTTCTGTAAACAAAAATGACTTCTAACCCCTGAAATTTTAAGTACTTATTATGACTTGAACTTTTTTTATTTGGAGAAAGGAATACAAAACCTCTTTTCCCATTCTTTCCATGTTTTGCATTAGCAATTCAAAACATTTTCCTTTGTGGACATGAGGTTAATTCCAAGAGATCTTAGAATACGTTTTCTATGGAATAAAGACAATATAAAGTTTCCATAGTGTATTTTATCTTGTTATTGCATCTTTTTAAATCTAAATACTTTTTCATTTCTGTCTTATAGTATCAATTTCATAATATTTTAAGATTTTATGCCAATGCCTCTTAGGTGGACATCAGAGTCACTTAGTAATCGCCCAACTTCCTCTTAACCATATCAGTTCACAGTCCACTATGATATACTATACTTGTCTTTCAGGAAATATTATGCTGTGTTTTATAGATATTCTTAAATTAATTGCATTGTTACTGCCATTTTTTCATGTGTCTCTTTACTTTCTCAGGCTTGCTATTTAAAAGATGTACATTGCTGCTACCCACAAAGGAAAGACTAAAGTACATTCACAAGATACTCGCAGAAGTAAGATCATATTTCTGAATTAGTTCACAATCTTTATTACCAGTAAAGATATTTTATTATTGTCTTGTACTCATTTAAAATCTGTCCTTAGTTAGTAGAACTTCATGAATTAATACTAAAAAATTGATCAATGATAATCTAATACTTTACCAAGTACTCAAAGATTGTAAAACTCCAAAATGTAGTACAGTAGTCTTTTACTTATTATAAAATAATTTTATATATAATTAAATACATCATTTAAGTTTATTAGATTTATCAGAGTATAAAAGTATTTTAACCCACACGGGAATCCTAAGGATGTTTTATTATTAAAATGAAATATAATATTTTATTAAAATGAAATAATTTCTGAATGTCAAAATCTTACTGTTTAAATATACAGAAACATAAGAAAGATATTTTAATATATAAAATAACAATTATGATAATTCATGACTTGTGAATGTGTGTCATGTACTTGGGCATAATCTCTATATAAGAAATTGAGCCTCACTGTACAAACCCAAACATACACACAACACTGATGGCTCAGTTCTGTACTCAATAGTTTGCAAACTTTTTCTGACCAGATGATCTTTCTGACATCCATTTCTTCAGTCCCAGAGACATTCTATACACCGAATCAAAGTTATTCTTCCTAAAGCATCCCTTTCATCAAGTTAGTTTTCTTGCTTAAAAATCTTTCAGTGGCTGCTCAGTTTCAGCAAGATAAGGTCCAAAGTCCCTAGGTGGTATTTAAGGTTCTCCCTGACAATGCAAACTTACTCCCTACTACTTTGAGCCTAATTAAGCTGGTCATATATATCTTTCTTCCCAAGTAAATTTGAGTTCTTCCTACCTCAATACAATTTTGTCCTTATTGTTTCCCTCACCAATCCTTTACATTTATTATATCTGAATCCTAATTTAAGATATTGCTTGTTTCACATCTTTCATAAGCTTTTTTGATCATTCCCAAATTTATCATTTCCCTGCTTTCATAGTGTCTGATACAGTATTTTTTTGGTCATTTTAGCATTTATACATATTCTAACCTGAATTACCAAAGAACTTCACATGTATATGTCTTATGCTCCTAAATAAATTGTGAGCTCCTTGAAGGTAACCTTTGTTTTATATTTTTTTCATAATCCCCACCTGTATAACAACGCTAATCAGCTATTTAGTGTTTTAGTTCTTTTCAGTTAGTACTGACAATCTTATATATTTCCATTAAATTTGAATGTCAAATCATAGTACAGTTTCCCTGAAAAGAAGGAATTAATAGCTGTTCTCTTTACAGGTTTCCTGTTTTAAATTCAGTGGCTGTGTAGCTCCTATGCAATGTTTAGGATTCTCATGTTATGGCATGTTTTTACAGGTACATTTTTGTTTTTAATGAAATAAGAAAAGGAATGTTTTTGAACTGTTGACAAGTTGAGCATGTAGTCTGTTGTTCCATGGGTTAATAAAAGTAATAATCTAAAAAAAGAACAAAATAAGGGGCCGGCCGAGTGGCTCAGTTGGTTAAGAGCTCGCTCAAGAGTTTGAGCTCTGAGCAACAGCGGTTCAAGTCCAGCCCGAGCTGAGCAGCCGCTGAGCTGCCAACAGGTAGCAGGATGGCTCAGCTAAAAAAAACAAAAAACAAAAAAAAACACAAAATAAAATTGTAAAAATTTGAGAATATGTTAATCTAATAATGTTTGACACCTCAGATTTTCTTCTTGGATTTTTCACCAGTAAGAAATGTTTAATATTTATTTGCTGTATACCAATGTCCTCAAAGTTTCTAGCCAATATTTTAAGGACTAGAAATAGTGTGGGACAAGTGGTGTGTGTGGGTGTGGGTGTGGGTGTGTGGGTGTGTGTATAATTAGTTTTTAAAGTCTTGAGCTAGTTATTTAAGATGTGATTTTAGAAATCAACTGTATGAAAAAAAATTCTAACTGTAGGAGGTGATAGATATAACCTTATTGTATAATCATTTTGATGTGTGTGTGTGTGCATGTGTGTGTGTATACATATATATAATCGCTATGTTGTATACCTTTGACTTACATAATGTTATATGTCAATGATAATAGAGCTGGAAAAAAAAATAAATCAATTATATAATTTTAAGAACTTTTTTTTTTTTAATTGGGGAATAGTGTGTTTTTCCAGGACCCATCAGCTCCAAGTCAAGTAGTTGTTTCAATCTAGTTGTGGAGGCCGCAGCTCACTAACCGGCTGCCCCTTAAGAACATTTTTTACTAATCTTTTATTATAAACAAAGAAGATAACAATATTATAATTAAATGTTATTGAATATTAATAATATAAATATATTACAGTGTTCTATGCAGTTTACATGTACTAACTTATTTAAAACTTACAACAACTTGATAAGGTTTACAGCAGTCTTACAACAATCTTGCTTATATCCCAGTCTGCCAGCCACCATCTGCACACCCACATCCCAGGGGCATAACCCCTCCTACTAGTCTTCTTCCAAAATAGATTTTTGCTATCTTTTTTCCCCCGTTTCTTTGAAACTGGTAATATGAGCACATGTATTTATGTACAAAATGGTACAAAGTGAAAAGTAAGTCTCCCTCCCAGGCCTGTCCCTTGTCCACTGAGTTCCCTTCAACAGAATTTTCCAATATAAGCAGTTTCTTCTGTGTCCTTCCAGAAATAATAAGATCAATTTTTACACTACTGAAATCCAGGTCAACTATTTTAAGAAAAATGTATGTGATTAATCAACTTTTTTAAAATCTAATTTTAGTTGATTGACCCTTGAACAATGAGGGGGGTTAGGGGTACTGACCCATGCACAGTCGAAAATGCACATGTAACTTTTGATTCCTCTAAAATTTAAGTTGTCCCTTTATATCTGAGGGGGATTTGTTCCAGGACCCCCCATGGATACCAAAATCCATGGATGCTCAAGTCCCCTGTGTAAAATGGCGTAGATTGGGAGCATTTGAGGGCTTGCTTCCCAGCAATTGTCATCAGTTTGGCTCAAATAAACTCATAAAAATTCTTTAAAAATAAAATGGCGTAGATAAATGAATACAGTCAGCCCTCCACATTTGCAGACTCCCAACCTCCCATTGAAAACAGTACAGGTATTTGTTGAAAAAAATCTGACTATAAGGGGACCTGCATAGTTCAAATCTGTGTTGTTCAAGGATCAACTGTATAGTGATATACCATTTAAATTTCCTTTTCATATATGTTTAACTATACATTCAAGTTTGTCCAAAGATAATTATTAAATTCTGTCCTAATAAAATTTTTTGCTTGTTCCCATCCAAATCTCATAAATAAATGCTCATAATTGTCACATTAAAATGAGATCACTATTATTCTAAGCAATATCATAAATGATAGCTAGAGGGGGTCAAAGGAGTTCTACTGTAGTCTAAAACTAAGCCATAGTATAGTTGTGAGTCAGATGTCTAAAGCTGTGTTCTACGGTTTGGGCCTTTGTTATTTTCCTCACACTGTCAGAATTCAGGATTTAGTACCATTTAGAAGTTCTCTGAAAAGATACTTCCTTTACAACTGAAAAGAAACTGGATTTGGAGCATTTCTAGATTTGGTTTATATAAAATTTCTTATTAATTTCAACAGTCCCATGGTGGATAAAAAGTGTGCATCACCTGAATCATGTGCTATAACAGTTATGCTCATAAGGCAGGATTGATTGACTTATGTTTTGATATGATGGTCTGAACATCTGCAATGTTTCCTTTATTTTATTATCTTCAGACCTTAACAGCAGGTTGGGATGAACTTGAGTGCCATCGTGTTTATAACTTCTTATGTGAAATGACTACCCTCTCTCGCAAGATGCAGACCATTGTCTTAAGCAAACCAGGTAAAGAACTACAATTCAGAAACAACATACAGAGACTGAAATAGAAAAATAGCAGAGTTCTAAGGTATATTTAAAAATAAATTATGGCATCTGTTTATAGTAAAAGGACAAAGAAATGTAAGGGAATGATAAACCCTGAATTGGATAGTGAGGCACAAGTGGCTTGTGATTAAAGAAAGAGAAGTACTCAGAGGGCTTCAACTGTATTAATATTTTATTCCATAAGCTGGGTGAGGATACAAAGGTGTTCATTATAGTATTCTTTAAACCTTTGTATGTACCTGAAATATTTCATATTTTTAAAATTATAGAACCCTATAACCCAGCAATTTCACTCTGAGTAACTCCCCCAGTATGCACAAGGAGACACGTATAAGAATGAGTATTGACTGTCTCTCGGGTGAACGAAGCTGTCCTAACGAGAGAAGGCGAGTGTAGGTTCACCCTCCCGCAGACATGGGGGGTAGAAATCAAAACGGAAGCCACCCCCGAAGGAGAAGATTACAGGCACTCTAGAGACCCAGTTCACCTGTCCCTTCTGCAACCATGAGAAGTCTTGTGACGTGAAAATGGACCGTGTCCATAACACCGGAGTCATTTCTTGTACTGTGTGCCTAGAGGAATTCCAGACGCCCATCACATATCTCTCAGAACCAGTGGATGTGTATAGCGATTGGGTAGATGCCTGCGAGGCAGCCAATCAGTAGCAACATAGAGGACCCACCCCCTTGGCAGCCCCACAGCTGTGGCCCCACCCACTGGGTACCAATCCAGAGACATTCCTGGGGTCTAGGGTGGGTCCAGGACCCTCACAGCTCTGTGTGTGTGTGTGTGTGTGTGTGTGTGTGTGTGTGTGTGTGTATGTATGTAGTGGGTATGGGTGTGGGTGGGTGTTGTGGGCGTGACTGTGTGTCTGTAAGTGTGGCCCTGGGTTATGCTCATGGGCAGGGGAGGGAGTTGAGTTGCTAGGCCCTGGGAGCCTGAACTGCCTCCTTTGGCTACGAAAGCCTTTGATTTGCTTCCTTATCTGGCCCCTGACTCCCCTGGTTCTGAGGCCCTGGCTCCTCCTGGGGCTGATGTCCTGACAGCCTGCGTGAGGTCAAGCCCTGCGGAGACAGCCTCAGGACTCCAGCCTCCTCACCCACCTCCCCAGCACTCACCCATTTGAACTGGATGGCCCGCCCTCCTTCCCTGCCTTCCAAGGCCTGTGGCCTGGGATTCAAAGCCACAAGCCCCTCGGCTGGGCCCTGGTAGGGCAACCCTGATTCATGTTTAGTTGCTTTTATAGAGGATGGAGAGGCTGGGTCTGGGAAAACTATTGGTCACTAACCCTGAAATAAAGCAGCTGATGCAGAAAAAAAAAAAAAAGAATGAGTATTGGGGCCAGCCAGGTGGCGCGTTGGTTAAGAGCTGGCTTGGGATGCCAGAGGCCCCGGTTTGGATCCCACATGTGAGGGCCAGTGATACTGCCCTCTACAGCTAAGATGCTGAACAACAGCTCGACCTGGAGCTGGGCTGCCGTGAGTCGGCTGCAGCGCCTGCTGCAGTGGGTTCCCATGGGCTACTGTGTGTCGCCAGCAGCCGCAGTGAGCGGCCATCCAGAAGCCGGCGACTGATCTGCCTCGCCCGGGAAGAGCGCAATGATGGTGCCAACTTGGGCCAGTGAAGCAATGTCCTCCACAACTAGACTGAAGAACAAAAGGACAGCAACTTGTCTGTTCCCCTTCCCCCAATTCCCCAGCGCTGTTCCCATGCCCCCAATTCCCCAATAAAAAAAAACTTTTTAATCTTAAAATATATATATATATATATAAGAATATAGTTGGGAGATGTGAGAGTTAATTTTGCATGTCAACTTGTGTAGGCCATGGTACCCAGATATTTGGTCAAACATTATTCTAAATGTTTCTCTGGATTTATTTATTTATTTATTCATTTATTTAAAGATTTTTTTTATTGGGGAATTGGGGGAGGGGAACAGCATTGGGGAATCGGGGGAAGGGGAACAGACAAGTTGATGTCCTTTTGTTTTTCAGTCTAGTTGTGAAGGAAGTCGCTTCATTGGCCCATGTTGGTATTATCATTGCTCTCTTCCCAGGTGAGGCAGTCGCTTGCTGGCCATTGGACGGCCGCTCACAGCGGCTCATGGTGGCTCACAGCAGCTCACAAAAGCTCACACCAGCTGCCAGCCAGCCCCACTGCAGCCTACGCCGTTGCCGGCGACTCACGGCAGCTCAGCTCCAGGTCAAGCTGTTATTCATCATCTTAGCTGTAGAGGGTGCAGCATCACTGGCCCTCATGTGAGATCCGAACCAGGGCCATGCTGCTCAGATCTGGCCTCCCAAACCAACTGAGTGGCATGTTAACCAACAGGCTGCTCAGCCAGCCCTGAAGTTATTTTTTAGATGAGATTAACATTTAAATCAGTAGACTTTGAGTAAAGCAGATTGTCCTTTGTAATGTGGGTGGGCCTCATCCAATCCAAACTGTATTGCTAATGTTTTTATTTATTTTTAAAAATCTGAAGCAAATGTAGCAAAAAGTAAAGTTTTGACAAAGCTATGTCAAGTAATACATTAAAAACTATGGAGTTATACACTTTAAGTGAGTAAAGTTGATACACAGTATTTGTTATAGTATCTCTGCTTTTCTGTCAGCTTGAGATATTTCATTGTAAACCAAATTATGAATTAAGAATGCAGAATTGGAAGTCCAGTGAAACAATAACAAAATGAATTTATCATGTCTCTCTCTTGATCAGAAACTTTATTAGTTCCCTGATATCTTCAAAGTAAAGTCCCAGTTAGACTGGCTTTCACATTCTAATCCTAACCTACTTTTTCAGACTTTTTGCCCATTACTCTCTTACTCTCTATAACAGTTTGATATAGAGTAGGCATCGTGCTCTACATAGTGTCTCAGACATCTCTTAAATATTTCTACTTCATACCTTTTATTCATTCTCTTTTCTTCCTGGAATACCATCTCTCCTTCTCATCCTTTAAGACCAATTTGCCTGAGCTCCTCTGTAAAACCTTTCTTGATTTCCCCAGGCCTGCAGTAATATCGTTTAAACTTCTGTGTTACTTGGCTTAACATAATCAGGAGATGCTTCTTTACATATGGCCTTTGATCACTGGTAGACTTTCCATTTACACTTATCTACAAATAAGTAGAACATAAGTGGCATAGAAATGTAAAATGGTGCCGCCACTATGGAAAAGTTTGGCCATTCCTCAAAAAGTTAAAACATAGAATTATCATATGGCCTAGCAATTCCACTCCTAGGTATATACCTAAGGGAATTGAGAGGAGAGACTTGGACAGATTTTTGTATGCCAGTGTTCATTGCAGCATTATTTGCAATAGCTAAAAAATGAAAACAACTATATGTTCAGCAACATAAGAATGGATAAATAAGATGTGGTATAAATATACAATAGCATATTATTCAGCCATAAAAAGGAGTGAAGTTTTGATACATGCTACAATATGGATGAACTTTGAAAATATCATGCTAAGTGATATAAGCCAGATACAAAAGGACAAATACTGTATGATTCCACTTACATGAGGTACCTAGAACAGGCAGGCAAAGTCCTAAAAACAGAAAGTAGTTAGAGGTTACCAGGAAGTAGGGGGAGGGGAACATTATTGCTTAATGGTTACAGTTTCTGTTTGAGGTGATGAAAAGTTTTAGAAAAAGACAGTGGTGATGGTTGAACAACATAGTGACTATAATTGATGCCACTAAATTGTACACTTTAAAAATGATTAAAATAGCAAATTTTATGTTATATACATTTTACTGCAATTTTTAAAAATTAGTAATGTAATAATTAAAAACTATTGAGTTATACACTTTAAGTAAGTAAATTGTATGGTATTTAAATTATGCATATTTCAATAAAGCTGTTAAAAAAAACACAAAATACCACTTCATACCCACTAGGATGGCCAGAATCATAAAATCAGATAACAAGTGTTGGTGAGAATGTGGAAAAATTGGAATCCTCATACATTGTTGATAGAAATGTAAAATGGTTCAGCCACTTTGGAAAATCATTTGGCAAGTTCCTCAAATGACTAAATGTACAGTTACTGTATGACCCAGCAATTCTACTCTTAGATATATCCCCAAGAGAAATAAAAACATGTGCCCACACAGAAAGTTGTACATGAATGTTAATAGCATCATTATTCAAACTAGCCAAAATGTGGAAACAACCCACATGTCCATCAATGGGTGAATATGTAAACAAAATGCGGTACATCTATACAATAGAATATTATTTAGCCATAAAAATTGTACTGATACATGTACTGTATCTGATACATGCCATAACACCTTGAAAATGTTATGCTAAATGAAAGAAGCCAGTCACAAAAGACCATGTACTATATGATTTCATTCATATGAAAGTCCAAAATAGGGAAATCTATAGAGACAGAAAGTAGATTATTGGTTGCTTAGGGCTGGGAGTGGTAAAGTATGGAGGGATAGGGAAGTGATAGCTATAAGAGCAAGATTTCTTTTTGAGGTGATCAAAATGTTCTAAAATTGACTCAGTGATGGCTGCACATGTCTGTGAATATACTAAAAACCATTGAATTGTATGCTTTAAATGGATAAATTGTATGATATGTAAGTTATATCTCAATAAAGCTGTTTAAAAAATAGCCCCTTGATTATCTAAAATTTGTAGAAGAAAATGAAGTAACACTTTCAGTATAAAGCATATTAATGATGTATGTCTTTGACCTATCAATTATTCATATCAACCTTTCTAGGAAGAATGATTTACAAGTCTTTTGTCTTCATAGGAAGTGCCCGAAAACTGGAGTTAAGGATCCGGCTGTTCTGTAGGAATGTCCTCCTTGATCATTGGCCACATCGAAGTGATTCTGCTTTTTGGTTGACACGTATATTAAAACCATGGCCAATGGTGAATCAGGCAAGATTACTGTATATCATCTTTGGACCAGTAGCTCCTCAAGATGGTGAGCATCTATTTTTTAGCAACATATGTTACAAAACTGGTAATTACTTTTATTTTTGGAAAGCATATCTTTTTGTACCTGCTCAGTTTCATCATTCCTAATGATTAAACTATTTCATGATTTCATAGATTTATAGTTACATTAACTTGTGCGTAACTTAAACTTCAAGACAGAAATTGTTCTCCTGCATGCCATTTCTAAATATATTCCTTATCATCCCTGGTTTACCTAAAATAGCTGATTTTTAATCATTATCTTAACTCAAGAATGTGTTTGCTGCTGGAGCGGACAAATAGTGCCAGTGAATCAAAGTAGTAGATGGAATTGATGTTTTACTTAACTTTGGGTGCATAAGATGATTTCTTGCAATTTTTTGCCTTTCTAATTGAGTTTAGATTAATGTTAAAATTAACATTTCTTTAGTTCACATTACCTTATGTCAGGAGGTAATCAGTTTAAAGTATGTTGAATAGCAGCAAGAAGCCAATCTGGGGTTAAATTTTGTTGTATGTGTAATTCACAAAGAAAATTGGTCGTAGGTCAATAATCAAACATTGACTGGATTACTCTTTTGATATAAATGTTTGGAAGATTCTCAAATATAGCATGTTCTGGTTTTTCAGATTTTATTTTATATTAGTAAGATTACATTAGTTGTTTATTCCAACAAATGTCTGTTATAGAAGTAGCATTATCTTTGAACTAGAAGCACTGTTCTTCTTGGTGAAACTACCTTTCCTTTACTTCATTTAGCTGTTGTTGCTGCACTTCATCATATCAATCAGAGACCTTCAAATTCATACAGAACTGACTTTCATTATGAAAATAACATATATAAGTAATGAATTCCATTATGCAATCCAATTTCCTTTTTAAACAATCTGTGAAGCCTTTATCACAAAGCCAACTATTCTGTCATAACCTAATTTTTGTTTCAATTATCATTCAGGACAGGTGCTTTGGCATAAAATGACAGACGAACCTACAGATGAATCCAGTATGAGAGGTTTGGCTGATGCCATTAAATTACTATATGACACACGCATCAAAGAGTGGACAGCAGATGATGTTATCAGTCTTGTAGATGAACTATCAGGTAAAAATATATATTTACCACACAGTGTAACATAAATTTATTATTAGAATACAGCTACAAAATTGTAAGGGTAATTCTACAGGTAACAAATGACTTGCCTATTGGAAATCATTAAATGCTCTAAAATATTTGAAGAATTCAGCAAAATGCATATAATCAACTTACTTTCCTTCAATTGTGAATTTTATAAATATATATTTATTATCATTACTATTAGAAAGCTTCATAATTTAGCTCAATTATTCCCATTTTGCAAGTTCTCAGAAACACCTTCCTAGTTGTGTAAAGAAGAAACCTTCTCCTGTTGGTATAGCAGAGGTGAAACAATTTTTTCCATTCATGCATCATAATCCTTTAGATTCTAAAGTTTACAAAATTTCTTTCTTTTCACAAGATTAGACAAACTTGCCTGTTGATCCATGTGTAGGAAAAATGCTTTGACTATATTACTAGTACGTTTGTAAGAGCTGCCACAACATGGCAGTAATCTCTGTCTCCAATTAAATGCTGTAATTGAAAAACTAAAACATTATTTTCTGAACTTTTCCCTTGACACTAATTGTATTTCCAATAAAGTAATATAATATTGCATATAATTAATGATGTTTACTATAGCTATTGTGTAATTTCTCATTAAATAACTGTTCTTCCTCTAATAAAAGTGGTTCCCCGTGAGTGGCTTCTAGAGAACAATGCACATCTCCTACTCCTAAGTGGGAACAACATCTGTTTCACTTTCATGGCTAGTAAAGCTGTGAATGGGCGGACCATTGAACTGGCAAGGCTGATAGTCTTTTTGGCTTTGGTAAGTAAAAAATAAGTTTTCTCTAGCAAGTTGTTTAACATTATGTTGACCTTCCAGGGAGCTGCCCTGACGGAACAGAAATACGTACAAAACATTTTGAAAGAATAATTATTTAAGTATATATTTTATATATACTTATAAAATTTCAAAATGTATAAACTTTCATATTTGGAATTATTCCCTATATTAACCTCTCCCCAGTTCATGTCTTGATCATCATCATAGAGCTCTGCCAAGTTATATTCTTGTTTTTAAAATTCCTTTAAAAAAAATGAAGTACCTCATTTGATTTACTTCAGAATAATCAAAGGGCAGCAGAGAAAGTATGTGGAAGTGAATGTTGTTAGAGGTGAAACAAGATTGGCAATTGTTGAACTGGAAAATGGGTACTCGGAATTCATTATACTATTCTTTCTACTTTTGTATAGTTAAAGTGTCTTTCAAAATAAAACATTTAAAATATATTTAATACTCATTCATTTAACACAAACGAGTTTTTACTATGTGTCATACATAGTGTTAGATTCTAGAACTATGAAAATTAATAGAACGAATCTCTGACCAAAAGCTGCTTATAAGTCTTTTAAGAGATATCAAGGTATATATAAATAAATTCAGAGATAAGTACAAAAAGATACAAACAGAGGTGGCAGAGAGGAGCTAATACTACTAGATGGGTATAGAGCACAGAGAGGACTTCCCCGATTCCAGTAGAAATAGATTTTTAAAAATGAATAGAAGTTCATTTAGGCAGATACAGGGGGTAAACTGAATAATTTACCTGCATGTACCTGCACGTGTTACATAGAAATTTAATTTATTCAGCTACCATCACAGATGTCAGCTCAACCAGTGCTTCAAAAGCAATGGAATAATCTTCCAGTTGGGTGTTGTGAGGAGTAATTGAATGTAATCCATTTCCTATGAAATGGAGACAGGATCTTTACCAACTCAGTTCCTTGAAACATGAATGAAACCTCTGTGCTCTTTTTAAAATGGGAAGAAAGCTACTAAATTAACTGTATTCACAATGTAAATATTTATTTTAATAATTAAGCAGATTCCCCCCCAAAAAAGAGAGAGAAATGAAACAGCATGGCTATATCCACAGGACTGTATTATCTCTGAAGGGTAAAATGTGTGGAAGAGGAGGAGGATGTGGGAGGTTAGATAGAAAGGGAGAGGCCAGGTAATGAAGGGCCTTGTAGACCATCCATGGAGCTTGAACACACCTTCTAATAAGGTGTTGCTGGGCCGGCCGAGTGGCTCAGTTGGTTAAGAGCTCACTCAAGAGTTTGAGCTCTGAGCAACAGTGGTTCGAGTCCAGCCCGAGCTGAGCAGCCGCTGACCTGCCAACAGGTGGCAGGATGGCTCAGCTAAAAGAAAAAAAATAAATAAATGAGGTGTTGCTGAAAAATTTTAGGAAGAGAAGAGATATGATCAGTGTTAAGTTTTTGAAAGGTCACTTTGGCAGCGCTATGGTAAACAGAATGGAAAGGAAGTCACTAGCGGTAGAGAAGCCTTCTCTAGAAAGCCTTTTCTGATGAACATCTCAACTCTGATCATTAATTTTCCCTAAATTGCCTTAGACTTGTCTTCTCTTTATCTTCATTTATTAATTGTGTTCTTAAGCTATTTTATGTGTGCGGTAAGTCATCTCCCAAATAGATTGTAAATTCTTAGAAATCCAGAACTGTTACTTACTTCTTTCATAGTGCTTCGTACCATGCCTTACACGTACGTACGTAGCCAATAAATCTTTCCTGTCACATTAACATTATTTAGTTACACTAGTTTATTTCCATGCAGTGTGTTATTTGGCTATGTGAGTTAAATTGGCCAGAGTGTTAGTAAATAAACCTTTTTCTTTTCAGCTTTAACTATTAACATGTAGTCTTTAAATATTTATCTTTTAAATAATAGAGTGATAAATATTCTCTACAACTCTCAAGATCGAAAGTTGATAATACTATAGAGTTCTCTCGTCTATTGAAATTTCCTATTTGTCTATCACCTTGATTGGACCCCTTGAAAATAAAAGCCCTGTCTTTATGGCTTACCATTGTATTTCCAGCTCTTACTATGTGCTCAGTAAATATCTATTGAATGAATGAATGAGCAGAAGTCTTATTTTTCATATGTTTAATAATTGTTTCCAATATTAATTCTTACATTAATAAATAATATTCTATTAACTTTTATTTATATCATATATTTCCCACTAAAATTATACCATTTGAAAGTAAAGCAGTATTAGATAGAAGAGCATTTCCCATTTATAGACTCAGTATAATGTCAGGTGTAATAAATTATGTGAAATCATAAACCATCACATGAAGATTTACTATAATGCTTTGTATGTCTAAATCAGGTGTGCGAGAAAGAACTCTACTGCATGGATTGGGCAGTTCAAATGATGCATAAAGTCTGTAAAGTCTTTAATACTCAAGTGGAAAGAGGTAACTTCCTGCAGAATGTGGCAAATGCATTTGCATGTGTTATAATGGAAATGCTGCATACAGTTATGTCTGGTGAGTATGCATGCAGATGGTGGGAGTAAAATGCATTCTGGTCTCCACCTAAAACAGAGATAATTCTGTGTAGACTTTTAATTCTAAACTAAGAATAGAAGTAGACATTTTTTTGTTTGTTTTTCCATGAGATATATTTCGCACCCGGTTCTTTCACTTTTTAAATCTGGTATTGGTTTTAATGAGAAACAAAGTTGAAGAGCCTGCTCTGAAAGAAACCAGTTTCAATTTTGCACAGCAAAAAATTTTAACGTACTTATCAACTATCATATTCATCATAATAATATAATGAATATATTTGTGTAGTCTCAATATATATTATTTTACAGTTTTATTAGTAGTCAACATAATAATTAACCCTGTTTTACAGATGAGAAAACTAAGGCTTAGAGAAATTACCTGACTTGCCCTCAGTCATAAAATTAGAAGCAATAAAGCATAGACCAGTATCCTTTTCTTCTGACTTTTAATTCAATGCTCTTACAAAATTTCATGATTTCAATAGTCAGCATCTGACTTAGTAAAGATTACTAACTAGTCTTCTGTTACATATTATTAGGAAAAATTAGGACATCTTATGTTTTAAATAAATCATATATTTAAAAACTTAACTGTCATTTTTTAGGAGACCATGATGAAGAGGAGAGAAACTTTTTGAATTTGTTCCATCTTGTACATGCTCAGGCTAACTTCCATAAAGAAGTCCTGTATTTGACCATGAATACTCTCTCAACTTAAATACTCAGAAAGCCTTGCATTTAGAGAATACCTCACTAAACTAACAATTAGAAGAGTGCTACTTTTCCTCAATCAAAGAATAGCATCCGTGGAACTTTTTATCACCTAACTAATTCAAAAGCTACATAGAATTTTAGAAGTAGATGCTTAAACCATTATTAATATAAAAATTACAGGCAAACCCAAGAATGTATTGAGATTTCTCTGGAAAATAAGCTGCGTCTCTCCAGATTTTGGTAAACCTAGCACTAAACTAAATAGAACATTGTATCCAAGAATCTGGGGCCAGCCAACCTGTATGTGTGGATCTTTGAAGAAAGACAAATTTTTGTTTTATAGTTAGAGCAGACCCAAATTCATTAGATAATATGTATCTGTTCACCTTGCTTAAGTTATGTAGACATAGCCTAGAATGTTTTGTGAAGGTTTGCAATATAATGTTTTGGAATGTGCAGTTATGAATCACATTTTTTTTACCACTTTCTTGACTTATGATTTCAAAGAATGTTATATTTTGTTCACGTTTTGTATGAACAAATAAAAACCCAAAGTAAGTATGTGTGTGTGTATACAGATGTCTGTATACACACACACACACACATATATATGCATATACATGTTTCCTTCTTTAAGACAAATCATACAAAAAGTCTGTAAATAGAGGAAGGTGTATATTGTTTTAATACAAATCATCTTTTATCCTTTCCTGGGGATTAGAGTAAAATGTTGCAAATAAGGGGAAATATAAAATGAAAGAAAAGTAGTTATTCTACTGCTTGAACAATATTCACAAATAATTGGCACTTCTTCCTAAAGCTTTTCTCCCTATCTTAAAGAATGGGACTTGAAGAAAACTGGAAGCATGGATGGTCAGAGCAGCCCATGAGTGGGGTTTTTCTTCATTCAAGTAAATAGATTCCAAGAAGCTCCAAGACTATTTCAGCCTGACTAACATTTGTCACCACCACTTTTATTATTAAAGTAGAAAATAATAGTGCCTAACGGAGCTGAAATAATGCTGGAGCCCTCCTGGATCTCCCATTTTTTTCAACTTGGGTTTGATCATTTTACTTCTGAAGACACAACCCTCTCCAATGGACTTCTCAAAGGCTGACTTTCTTTTCCTAAGCCCTTAATTTAACTTACCTCTTGGGCTAATGAAGGGAAGAAACACTAGGAGATATAGAAATTACCCACAGAAGTGGGAAGTACTCAAGTACTACTTGGCAAGAGGGGCTCAGTAAGAGATTTAATAGGACTGAGGAATAGTGAAAATTGTGGAGGAAGTATAAGTTGTGATAACAAGATTTTACTAATTTCAATAGTAAAAGCACTTAACTTTCATTTATGGAGGGTCAGAAATTAACTGCCTTTCTTTGATGGATTGTCCAACTATAATTCCTTCGGTGGCAGGAATTATTTCTCCCGACTTGAGTATTTGCATATTTATGCAAAAACAAAGCCCTTGCTTTTATTCTGGTTTCATTTTTTCTTCCTCTCAATTAAGAATTCACCGGGGCCGGCCGAGTGGCTCAGTTGGTTACAAGCTCGCTCAAGAGTACGGGCTCTGGGCTGGCCGAGTGGCTCAGTTGGTTAAGAGCTTGCTCAAGATTTTGAGCTGTGAGCAATAGCGGTTCAAGTCCCAGCCTGAGCGGAGCAGCAGCTGAGCTGCCAACAGGTAGCAGGATGGCTCAGCTAAAAAAAATCAATTAGGAATTCACCAACAACTAAATTATGAAGATTAAAAGTTGTCAAATACTACAGTACAAAATAACACCTTAATTAGGTTCTTCTTTTCCCTCTCACTCTTTTTCTCATACACACTTTGGAAAGTCTAATCCATTAATTAATCAAAACACTGGTGATTCCAAGTTCAGAATATACTCCATTAGATTATTGGGGGTGGGGGGAGAAAAATGAAGGAAAAAAGTAAAAATTTTAATACAAATAGTGAATATTTTTAATAGTTTACTAGATAGATATTAAGTTTCATTCTTTTAGAGAAGCAATTTGGCATTGTGAAGTTTTCTTGAATTCCTTGAATTATCCAAGTTTCGACAGCAGTTATTTTCAATAAGTTTACAAAAGAAGCATGGTTTAATTTAAAACATTTTTACCTGGATTTTGAATCTCATTACACACTTAAACTGACATGACTGCTGCTGTAAATTTTTTAAAACACATTATTGCATTATTCTCGATAATTGTGAGATTATTATCTCATCCTCCCCAGAAATTTGGAACATAAAAAATCTGATTCATTCTTTGGTTGCAGTAGATAAATGATATCATCTTGCTACTAATAAAAAGTAAACTAATAAATTCTTCATTCAATTATTAATAAATAAAAATCACATTTGAGACCAAATTTGCAGTTTCCTCAAGTTAGCAGTCTGGTTTTTTTGCTGAATACGTTTGTCATTAGGAGTAAAGTGTGATATCAAATTTTAAAGTGGGAGATTAACTTGCAAAAGCATATATTATTAGCATTAGTATTGATGTTTAAGTGGTGGTATATGCAGTCATATTGCCACACAAAAAAGGAGCATTTGCAAAACAAATAGCCTAAAATCACTAAGAGACTGTCTACTTCTAACTCACTCTAGAACAGTCATAATAACATGATGATGTAAACCACTAGCAAGTCAGATAATTGATTCAGTACTTTTTCTAAATTAGAAGATTGACCTGGGCTTCTTGCCCTTTTTTTCCTTCTGATAGTGATTTCTTCCTCAGTCTCCTTTGACTTTGATTTGTAGGATGATTTTTACTCCCTCTAAAGGCAAGCTCAAAAAAGCTCAACAGCACAACATTACATTTATCTTTATTATTGTTTCTAAATACACACACGATACATAATAGTACGTACTAATAACAAACTAATGATGCTGCTTTTCTTAGAAACTAAAGTTTATATCTTGTGATAAATACTCTGTACCTTATGAAACCGTAAAATATCTATTCTTAACATTTTTTTGGATAACTCCTTCTCATGACCTTGTGACTCCTCAACTTTATCATTTTCACAGTGCAGGCAGTAAATTACTGTACTTGGGAAGCCTTTCAGGCATTCAAGAGTTTCAAGGCTGCTCTCCATAGTATGAGCAATAGGCACCTTATTTTACACTGTTCCCATCCTCTGATGACTTAGTTCATGCTTCCAGTTCTTCTATTAATAACAAAGATATCATTGCCATTATAATTATTTACCTTTGGAGATTAGAGCAAAGCATAAGGTGCCCAGCAGAAGGTACAACTGAAAGAACCATCTTATGTCAATAAAAAACAAACATGAACCTCTTTGTATGATTATTACTTGAGTTAACCTCTTAAAGTGAATTATATGATTACAGATTTTGATGTCAATAAATATTGTGAAAGGTAAAAACACAAAGCTGCAACAAAAGCCTCTTAGGTGGGCCGGCCGAGTGGCTCAGTTGGTTAAGAGCTCGCTCAAGAGTTTGAGCTCTGAGCAACAGCCTCGAGTCCGCTGAGCTGCCAACGGGTAGCAGGATGGCTCAGCTAAAAAAAAAAAACAAAAACAAACCAAAAAAAAAAAAAAAGCCTCTTAGGTTATTGGACACTTTACTAGCAATGTGACTTCTTTACCAATTCCACTAGCCAGTAGCTGTGAAACCTGTAAGAAATCAGGCTGTGGGAAGATGCTCCTTGTTTTACTGAGACATCATTAAGATATGAAAGATGTCCTGATAGACGGTTGTATTGAACAGTCCTCTCTAGGTTAAAAAAAAAGTGTCAAAGGACTAAAAACACATTTCTTTTATCAAGAAAGTAAATATAACTCCATAAAATTCCTCCAGTAACCAGAGACTTTAAAAAAAACCCAAAACTTAGTTTAGTCCTTGAAAGCCTTTTAAGTTAAAAAAATAAAGTTGTAGGTATTCTTAGATCACTGCTTTCTTAAAGATGCATAAAACTGAAAAATATGTAATTTATTTTTTTAAATATTGTATTTATGGTAAAATGTTAAATATTTATTTGCTAAATTTTATTTAATTTGTTGTTTATTGATATTAATAAATTAAAATTAAAAACATTTCTAACTTGTTCAGAGTTTGTCATTATGCAAGTCACTGAGTGTATAATTCCTTTAAATTATTTCTTGTGGAGGAACTTATTTTTATTTAAGCTGATAATTATAGCTCTACCATGATAAAAATATGAAGTGTCTTAATATAAAATAATGTTCCAATTAGCTATATATGTATTTATATGTATATTTATGCTTAATATTAGTGTATAAATAAATTAATAAAATAATTTCATTTAGTAGCAATAACTCATAAATTGTATAATAACCTATAAGTAGAACAGTATATACTATTCTGCTATTTAACTCAGAGACCAAATTCCCAGGCAATTAATGTTTCAACTGCTGCTAAAATAGAAATGCTACGATTATCATAGTTTAACACCAGTTTCAAAAAACAAAATATGTAATTAAGTATTATAGATTACCTGAAATTTTCCATGACTACAAGATCTTATAGTGTTTTTCTGAGAACAAAGAAGTTGTTAAATATTTCTAAATGTATCTGCCTTAGCACGTTTGAGTGTATAATGGAAGTGTGTCAGCAACTTTTTCTGTTTCCCCCTTTATATATGACTTTGGTTTTATTTTTGTTTAAAATAGATGGGAGCAAAATTAAGTTAGAAGAGACCATTCTAGGCTTAGCAAATATTTGAAGCCAAAACATGTAATTTATAAAGACAATTTTCTACTTCAGGTATGCTTTATTAAGGGAAATTCTCATTATTTTTGAGTAATTAAAATGGTAATTTTAAGTGATTTTGAAGTTTGAATACTAATTTTAAGCCTTTTAAAAGCAAACAAATTTTCCAAAATTTAATAAATTATGTCTTGTTAAGTTCCAAATTCAGAAAGTTTGGATTTGATTCCATATACTCAGAACAATAACTCTTATGTGGTTCTAACTTAGTAACATTTATCTTTCCACTATTTAACTGTTTCCCAAAACATATCCTCTTTCTCCTGAAATAAATACATCATTTTCCACACAAAGAAAGTAGGTATTAGTGTAATGATTCCTAGTGTTATGCCACATTAAGTAATCTACAATTATTTAGAGCTGTTTTTACTACCCATTGATATGGGCCAAGTACAATCCCCATTTTATAGGATATGATTGCCCTATGACACAGACTTGTAAAATTTATGCAAAACTTTATGTTACAGAAGTAACTTTTCCCAGTGTTTTATTATATTTTAGGATGCCAATATACAAATAGTTTAAAAGTGAAATTTTGAAAATTTTTCATCAAAATGATGAACACTGTAAAACTCTGCTATAAACTGGACATATTATAGCATGGATATAGGCACAAAGCCATAAAATTTCTTCCAAAATTTAATTATTTTTTATAACCATAATATTCCACAAGTAACTGAAAATATGGGTAATCTTTTTGTCCTTACATTGTGCCCATTACCGATGGTATATATCACTGGTGTATAACTGAAATTGGCTGATTGTTTTCACTGAATTGATTAGTCATTTCAACTTCAGATGAAGACTGAAGAGTTTTGGCCTCATAAAAACTTCAGAAAGAGCTTGGTTAGAGACTACCATGAAGGCCTACACCACCATAATTGTTACTCAGATCCCTCCAAAATACTGACCCTTGCCCTAATTACCTAGGTAAAGACATAAAGCTGCTATCTTGACTCGAAGAAAATTTTAGTTTGAAACACAAAGCTATGCCAAAGAGTCAGAGGGATGTTTTACTGGGAAATGTCGCATCAAGGACTTCACAGATAACTGATCATCCCTGAATGTATTAATGTTCATAGCGATGCTTTTTGCATCAGTGTACCTGTCAAATTACCTCTTGTTGTTACATACCACCATGTAGTATTGTACTTATTAATATTCCCTAAACAGTTTAGGCAAATTATCACTAATATATGTTTGGGGTAAATAAAGATTGTCATTTTCTCCTCACAACGTTGCTGTTGATGCCAAAAAAAAAAGTTTTGCAGTTGAGTTTTCATCATAAAATGTCATTTGGGGAGAGCAGAGAAGCAGACTACTGGTAAACTATTATGAGTTTATTCAATGGAATTTCTGTTCTCAAAGATGTAGTTTCCAAAGAATTGTAGAATTTTAAAATGGAAAAGGACATTAACAATTTTCCAGTCCATCCTTTTCATTTGTCAGAATAAACTGAAGCCCTGAATGGTTAAATGACTTATTGAAAGTCACATAATTTGTTGCCAAGACAAAGCTTCTAGAATAGTGTTTTTTTACTTGGCCAGAAATCTAAAATGCAAGTTTTCTATTTTAATTGTGACATATACTGCCTCAATTTTATTTCTTTTTAAAACATGGAAATTGAACGCAATGTTATGAATAAAAACTACTAAGTTCAAATTACTCCTTGTTTATTTTTAAGCTAGAAAATCAAATGTAGAACAATTATGATGGATTTTTCAAAGGAATAGATACCACAGGTTTGGGGCCCAGGTCGTCTCTGGACTCCAAAATATATGGTTTCTTCAACCTTAATTTGGACAGAAAAATATTATAAAGTTTTTTTTCTAGAAAAGGAGCATTTGATAATTTTAAAAACATTTATATTGGGGTAGGAGAGAGATTTTTCCCAAATAACAAGTAAGATAAGTACAGCTGTGTTGTTTCAATAATTTATAACTCAGCCAGGTACAAAGAATGAGGATTATATAACCATTTGTCTCTTTAAATGAGAAGCTGGGGCACAAGTGGTATGGAATGAGTAAGATAAATCTTAAAAATTTAAATGACAGGTTTCTTCCGGCTAGAGACTAAGACAAGGGAAACCACACAAACCCAGACTGTGCAATCTCTAAAGACAGAGTGATAAAGTGACTACTTATAGATAAACAGAGACAACGTGCTCTTGGACTTACAAGGGAACATCTTCCTGTGAAAGGGAAAGGAAAGAACATATGTTAGCATAATATGTAGCTGCATTTAGACCTAAGGAAGGGCTATCAGAGTGAATTTTTGAGCAGTTCTCCATGGTAACTTTAATGAGTCTGCATTTCAGCTCTCTGTGTTCACAACACTCTGCATCTACCGCTCAAACGCACGCAGCATCTGCCAGCCATGCCCATGAATTCCTGATGTCCCAGCCGAGTGCCTCTGCCTCTGAGCTCAAAAAGCCCCTTGCTTTCCAGGGGTTAACCATATCCGGAAGGCTCTGGAAGAGGTCTGCTGGGCGGCAGGACAGCTGCTGTTGATAAGAGGCCTCTTGTTGGACTGGAGACCAGGAGCTGTGGGAAACCCAGAAACAACAAGGCTCAGATGGGAACAGCAGCAAAAGTCTTAGCTCCCGAGTGCTGGTTGTGGACTAAGAAAAGAAAAAGGAGTTCCTCTCTCCTTTCCACCAAACCCCACAGTTGGGAAAGAATGGACATCCCCCCCAAAACCCCACTCCCAAGTAAATTTCATTTCCTAGCTCATCCTCAAGTGAGAATGAGTCACTAATTAATTAATGCAATTATGCAAGCATAATTGTAAAACCACTCTGCTGACATATGAAGATGTGTTTTACCTTTAATGACCAAGAGACAACGAACAACTTGGAGTCTGAGCACCCAACTTGAAGAAAAAAAATTAGGAAGTTATAGTCCCTCCCACCATGCACACCATTCCCAGCCCCATTCTACCTAAAAATCCTTCACATTGTGGTCGTTAAAAAAATATTTTAAATTAGGTCACCAAGAAAGCAGTTGGCATTTCTTATTCTTTTCAGAGTGGTCTGAGAAATGCTATATCAATGCATCTGAGAAAAAAAATTTTGTTTTTGTGTCAATACCCGAGATAATGACCAGTAGCAAAAATCCACCGGTGCGTCGTCAGCAAGCAGGATGCTCGGCCAAGTCAGCTTCATCCTTCCCCCTGAGCTGTTCTTCTCTGGGCTCCCGCCGCAGCTGCAGGCCACTAGAGCAGATAGATAATGTAGGACAGGATGACCAGGCCTATGATGGCAAAGAACATCAGGATGAAAATATCCAGCATCATGGAGTCCTTGGCCGAGGAGGCCTCTGGATTCCCAGGAAATGTGAGCTGTGAGCACGGAGGTTGCAGCCAGTGGAGAGAAATGGCTCCCTCCTCCTTCCACTGCTCAGCCCTCGTTCTTTCCTCCTCCCCCTTTCAGGGCCAGAGACTAAGGGATACTACAGCTCCATCAGCAGCTTACTTCCTCTCCTCCCCCATACCCACACACACACACACACACACACACACACACACACACACACACTATAGCCAACCAATCATAAAGCCCCGGAGCGCGTAACCAAGGAACTGCTCCTTTTAGACCAGGCAGAACTGAAGAGGCTCAATTTCTCCCCAGGAACTCAATCCCACCCCTTTGTATCTAAGTGGAGTCTGCATGATATGGACGTAGGAAGAGATCTGATCTCTATCCAGATGCGCTAGGAAAGAATCCTCCTGACTGCCTTTCTTCTTTTTTTCTCTCCCACATCCCTGGCAAATTATCTCAGAAAAATAATGGTTGGGGAGTTGGGTGGGCCACTGGCAAGCTGTAAAGGTCCCCTTGTGGAGGGTCATAGACAAAGGTGTCGTGAGTCTCAGCTGACATCTGTGGGGATGGAGCTAATGCTTATGAGATTTCTATGCTGTGCCAGATAGCACACACATGGTGAGATTTCAATCTCCCTACAGGTCTTTTGTAGATGAGGCTCGGAAATGGTCAGGAACTTCCCTAACGTTTCATTGGAAATCACAGAGACCAAGATTCAAAAGTAGGCCTGCACACTCCAGAGTCCATATTCTTCTCTCTCCCCAGACTGGCTCACCCTGTTCGTCTGAAATGCCCCTCAGCCCTCCCTGCACTGCTCAGGCTGTGATGCATTTTCCTCAAGTCACTCCATTTACAGTGTGGGCACCAGAGGTCTCTCCTCCTCTATTCCTTGTCTCTTTGTGGTCATTACATTCTTGCTCTCTTCTGTATCCTCCTCAGAGAGCTCCCCATGGCGTTACACCAGGGAGGGCTCTAAAGAACTCCCAGGCCCATCCCTGTGCAGTGAGAGTATCTAGAAATGCGACTTTAAGTGGCTTCTTTCGAGGGAATAGAAGAATTGATGTTTTATTTTTTTAAGCTGGGTAGTGGGTACTCAGTTATATCTTGTATTGCTTTTATGCCCTTTTCTGTCTTATTTCCTATTAAATTAAAAAAACAAACAAACCTCCCAGTGATATCTCTGAGGCCTAGTGTCCTTGGCTCCACCCCAAATAATTCTTTTGAAGGGCCTGGGGGTGAGGGGGCTAGTATGCCCCTCTTCATGGTGGGTCTCAGGAACTTAGGCCACTTCTAGAAGGGGGTCTAGAAACTCCTCCCATTGGCCCATCCCCAGGAGACCGAACAGGGAGTGGAGACTTAACGCTGATTCCCTCCCAGGCACACTGACTGCCCCCTCAAATTGCTCATGTGAATGAAGTCTCCTGGGGAGAAGGGGCTGCTGCTCCCAGACAAAAGGGGGCAGGCCCACAGGAGGCAAGATTTGCCAACTCATTCCCTTCTAGTGGGAAAACATTAGGCAGCCAGCTCCTTGGGGGGTGGGGGTGGGGGAGAAGCAGGTGTCAGTATTTTGTCTTTAATTATCCCTCCCAGTGCCGCCTCTGACACTCCCTACATTGCTCAGCCCTGCTGTCACAGGCTGTCATTCTCCTGATTGTCATTATTCCCCTGATGAGGAAAGCTCAATTCAGGCTCAGTTCGGGGAAAACCCTTTTCCTCTCCACCCTGCTGCTATCCTGAAGCCAGAAAATGCCTTCATTCTGAGCCCCAAGTGGGAAATGCCCCTCTCTACAAAACAGCTGGACATGAGGCTGACTGGTGGCACCGAGCCAGGGCGGAAGGGTCGAGGTTCTTTCTCTACCACTGTCCCCTTCCCAACCCCACAGAAGAGGGGAGGCCACCTTGCCCTCTGGTTAGAGGTTAGACCCAGGGCATCTAGAGCCAAGAACAGAGCACAGGAGATACTAAAATGAAACATGCAAAGGGCATGGATATACAGCCCACAGTGGCAAGCAAGGTAGCATGACATGAGGCTGAGCATCACACTGGGGGTCCTAAGACCTCCAGCCCAGCCGTGTGGCCTCCACCAAACCACCGCCTTTCTGGGTTTCAGTGAACCCCATCTGTAAGAAGGACGTCACCATATACTCCTCTCATAGGGCTGTTAATAAGTTCAAAGAAAAAAAAAACGTGTTAATGATCACATGCCTAAGGCACTGTGAAGACGGCTTTGGGTTGCCAGAGTCCCTAACAGCTTCATCCCATGTCTTATCCCAATGTAGACTGTCCCACTCTCTCCATCATTTCATTCCTCACATACGTGCCAAGCTCCTATGTGCAGAGCTAAAACTGACACACACCGCCTCCCCCCGCCCCCCGCTGAGCTCATTCATTAATTCAAATATTAGTTGGGTAGTTGAGCCCCGGGGGCTTAAAGATGAATTACCTGCCCTGTGAGTGTACTGGCAAGTGGGGAGAAACGTGCATTGGGAAGGAAGTCAAACAGTACGAGAATACATACGGGAGCTCAGTTAAGTTTATGGGAGTATCACCAAGCTGGGCAGAGAAATATAGCCAGCAGCAGACTGGTGGCGAGTTCTTGACAAGCAGGAAGTAGGTGCCAAGGCAAATTGCTACTCCAGGCTTGACAGTTTCCAAACTGGTCATTCTCTCCCCAAAGGATGGCAAGGCTCCCAGCAGGGCGACAGGCTAACATCCCCAAGCAGATGGGACACACACACAGCAGCACCTCAGAGCCAGAGAGAAAGCCAAGTCCGCAGGTAAAAATTATACTTTTATTTGAGTCACCAGAAAGATTCACTTGTGGTCCAAGTTAAATGTTCAGAATCATAATAGGCCAGAAGGATTTGATCCCAAGCACAAGCCCACGACGGAGGGGACCAAACAGACCAAGAAGAGACAACCACCCCATATAAAACGATGAATGACTGCTTCACACACACAGATGAAATGTTTGGACAGAGGCAAATTTCACATGGTCATTTCTGTTTCTTTTTAAATACAGGTTTGTGGGGTGGTATTTTTTCCAGCTATTTGAAAAAAAAAAAAAAAAGGCCCAAAAGTGCATATGTGAGAGGGAAAAAAAGGCAAAAATTAAGCAATAGTTTTCCCTGGAGGGACATGAGGAAGAAAACAGAAAGCATTGTTGAGAGAATTCACTTTCCTCACCATTGGGCTTCTTGCATTTTATTATTGGTCCACTAATGTTATATTCACATTCTAACTCTGATGTATCTTCTCTCCTGGGATGATAGGCTAAAAGACCTCTGTGAACTGTAAGACCAGGGATTTGGCCCGGCTCTCGGGTTCCGTGCTCTTCTATAAAATAGAGGTTCCGGAGAAGAACAAGGACTCCCAGCAGTCCCTGGGCCCCTCAGCACCAGTGTGATAGTCCCTCCTCTCTCTGGAGGTAAGAAAAGGTCCCCTGTTTTTAGGATGAGAAGAGCAGAGGGCCCGGCAGCAGGATTCCAATGGCTGGCTTGCCTTATTTTGGAAGGAAAATCAAGCTGAGTGAAAAGGCTATTTCTTGCTCCTCAGGTCCTCCTCCCACCCTCTCACCACCCTCCCAACTGCAGGTCCTGCAACAGGATGTGTCTCTGACCTTCGGCCCCAGAATCCATGTTGTGCTTTGAGATCAAGAAACAGAATGGACCAACGCGTCCCCCAAGGCTCCCCAAGTTGCTCCCTCATCCTGCAAATCACCCAATATGAGACCCCTCCACCTGCTCTCATATTGGCTGGGGCCAAGCAGGAAAATGGATTGGAAAAAGCAGTGGCTCCTCCCCCACAGCCATTTTCCTCAGCTCTGGGATTAGAAATAAATATTCCCAATTTAACTCACAAGCAGCGAGGACTTGATTGTTGACTATGCCTGCAGGCCCCTCCCCCTTGTACAGTTACAAGGAGGCAAAGATGTCAACTGTGGGGCCTGCCTGGACTCAAGGTTGAAATGGGAGGGGCAACTCAAAAGGTCATGAGAAAGCCCAGAGATGAATAAAGCCAGGCAAGGGTTGTCACAGCCACCAACGAAGGACAGAAAGGACTTGGAGATAGCACCACCTTTCCCTTCCATGTCCTGGCGTCTGTGCTTCCAGTTTTGTAGCCCTGGGGCCCTCTCCCAAAGCTTCAAGGGGGCTTTAGGGTAAGCAAGGGGGAGGCCTGGGGGAAGAGTCGCCAGAATGAGGCATCCACAGCGTGGGTGTCAGGGTCCTTTGGCCCCTACTCTGCAGCCGAGGACAGAGATAGGGGAAGACAATATGGCTGGAGCCATGAAGGCTCCCCCTCATCCCTACCCCAGCAGGGTATAATATCAGCCCCCACCAATCCTCAATCATCTCCTTACTTCTGCTCAGCACACTGCAAAAGGGGGTGGGTGGGCTTCCTCCATTTGGAGATAGGAGAAATTTTCACTCCATAGAAAACATAAGGAACTTCTTTCCCCCAGTGCCCTCCCCTCTCTCTGTGGGTTTTGAGGGAAGTATCAGGGGAAGACCACTCTGCACACCCTCACGTAAGCCTAGAGGCTCCAGCGGGCCGCGCACACTGCCCCTTCTATCACATTCGTGCTCACACTAGCCAGTCACAGACACCTGCAGACATACACGCTCCTTCTCCCATATGCTAAGTTCTAGAGATACAGAGGCTGTGGCTTTGCACAATTCTGGTCCACTTGGCGGCAGGCTGGGGAGAGGAGGTCACAGAAGGCCAGAGACATCTTTCCATGAGAATAGGCAGGAGTGGCCCACCCAGCCCAGATCTCAGGAGGCTGGGCCTCCAAGGCCAAGAGGCCCGAGGCTTCCTAGCCCCACCTTTCAGGACCACGGCTTCCAGCCAAGGAGGCAAGCCAGGGTCCCAGGAGGTTGGGAGTGGGAGTGAGGGACAAGGGCAGCGGGAGAGAACACCATGTCCCCTGTTTTCCTGCAGCTGTCCCTAAAAGAAAGGCCAGAACTTGACCCAAGCCACGCTCTTCCTGGGGAGCTCCTCACCCATATGGGGTCTGGGTGGACAGGAGAGCAAAATCACAGTGCAAGTGGGAACAGGTGTGAGGAGGATGAATGAACCCCAAAATGGGAACTTTACCCCCCTTTGTTGTCCTTGAGAAGGGGAGAGGTTGGTGAGGGGACCCCTCAGAGGGCCAGCAACCCCACTTTTGAGAAGCAGAGGCAAAAAGCCCTCTTACTGGTACCTACACAGTGGCAGCCCCCAACCCATCACCATCCCAGGGGCAAGGGCGGTGGGGTCCTACTTCCAGGAATGTATGGAGACCCTCCCCTGGGAGTCCTGGGGCTCACCCCAGCCCCGGAATGTTCAGGTATGTGAGGAGGTGGGTGGAAGGATCTGAGGGGGCCGAAAAGAGAGAAGGCAGAGGCCTGGGAGCTGACGGATCTCCCATTCCAGACCAGCCTCATGGGCCTTGGCCTCCCCTGAGAGGTCCACACCTGTTCCATCCAGAGAGAAAACCAAGAAGTTGGTCAAGAGGAAAACCTGCCAGAGGAAGGAGCCTGCGAAAATGGCAGAACAAGGCTTCAGTTGGCAAAAGAAGCTGGAGGAGGGTGGGAATAAACAAGCTGTCGCAGATTTAAAAAAACAAAGACACTGAAGGGTGGACAGGTCACGCCCAGGACGGATGATGCTGTGGAATGCACTGAAGAACGGTGAGGCGGAGCAGTGCCCCGCAGGCTCAGATGGCCTCCACGTAGTTGGCCGGCAGCATCCCCGTGTCACCGGTGCGCTCCACGGTCCCATACATCCAGCCGTCGTCAATCTGCTGCACGTTCACGATGGTGTCCCCATCCTGGAAGGAGACCTCGTCCTCATCGGCAGCGCTGTAGTCATAGACAGCGCGGTACCGCTTCTGCAAGGGTGAGTGCACAGTCAGTCCAGGGCCCAGCTCCTCCAGGGCCTGAGCCTTTCTTCCTAACGCTCTGGGATCCTGGAGCAGAGCCCGTGTGAGCAGTGAGCCAGGTTCTGGGAGACAAGGGCTGGGTTCTGCCACAAATTTTCTCACCTTTGTGTCTCCCTTTCTGAGAGCGAGCAGCCTTTTCCACTGAATGTGGCATCTACTAAGGGGCAGGCACAAGACAGGGACTGAAGTTACAATAGTTCTGTGTCACCTCTCAGAACAGGAATGCAGTAAGGTCCAACGGATGCCAGTTAGTGTTTAAAAATACGGCATGCCCTGTACACTATTATCTGCACTCTTATAAGCACCAGTCTTTCTTCCTTTTCTTGAAGCTGTAATAAGTCTGGTTTCACTCTCAAGTTCAGGACAAAGACCTATTCTTGGGAGAAAAATCTCCAGGTGACACAAAAGATTTCTATCAGGTTCCACCTTCCAACTCAGCCAAACTCTTATGCTTAAGCTCTAGGAAATGTTCAGTAAAAGCACATGAAACCTATCTGTGCTCGCAGATGACAACAGGAAACGGGGGGTCAAAAGTCAGGGAAAACCAGGCTTCCTGGGTGGCGTTTCTAAGAGGCATCTATGAATTATGTCCTTCCCTAGGCCCACCCATCTCTGGCTGCTCCAGGCCTCAGGGCTATATAACCTTCAACCTCCCATCTCTCCACTCTGGCCTTGGTTACTTACCCCGCCCCCGCCTGGGGCGCTACGCTGTATGGAGACTGGGGCTGCAGGCTCCTTGTAGCCACCATAGGACGGGGCCGCCTGCTGCTGCTGGGGCTGCTGGTAAACTGGAAGATGGGAAGAGACAAGTCTCAGAAACTGTCTTGCCAAACCCAGCCCCTCCCTTCCTCCATAAGCCCTTATTATGTGTTTCCACCACCCCACCTCCCCTGCTAATCCCCACATCTCAAAGGCTATGTCTGTGTGTGCACACTTGTAGGTGCTGTGTATTCTACAGAAGGGGCTGTGTCTGCCCCTATCACTCTGGGGACCCAGCACAGGCCCTGCCCCCCATGCTCATGCCCTCAGTGGGGAGGGGACCTGAGGGTGAGTGTGTGTGTAAATGAGGCCTCTCCCCAACCTGAAGCTGGCCTAGCTCCAGGTCCTCTACCCCCACAGGCCTCATGCTCACCTGGGGCGCTGGTCGGGATGTGGTGAAGCTGCTGCTGCTCCTGGGGCCGCCGGTAGCTGCTGCTGTCCTGGGAATCTCGGCGCTCGGGCTCCATGCCCTCACCCCCGCTGGGGCCCATGCGGCTCTTCTCAAACTCCTCATGGTATTTTATCTGCAGGGGTAGAAAGTGTTGGGTAAAGGACCCACAGTAAACCAACCAAAGCTCCCTCCAGTTTTCACTCAGGATCCTGTTATGAGAGAAACTCCCCGTAGGCTTCAGGTAGAGAGCGCCAGGTTCTCATGGGGGCGTAACCAGCTGTGTGCCCTTGGACAAGCTAGTTAACCTTGCTGGGCCTCAGTTTCCACCGTCTCTAAAATGGAACATTAGCGTCTACTCCAGGTGTAGTCGGAGAGGCAATGAGATGATGGATGGAAAAGGGCCATGTAAACTAAAGCACCATACAAATATGAGTGGTCGTTTTTATGTTCCTGTGGCAGGGGCAGGGGGCTGCCTGCCTCCTGGTCAAGAGCAGCAATAGCAGCAACTCTGTTTATAGGTGTCAGGTGTTCCACATCACGACCCATTTGACCTTGTCAGCACCTAAGAGGGGGCATATTACAGTCCCCATTTAACAGACAAGAAGGAAACCAAGGCAGACAGGCAAAGTGAGTTGCCCAAGATCATGCAAATTCCACAGCCTGTATTCTTCATCTGGAGGTGATTCTGCTTCTTATGGACGTGAGCAGCGGAGGCCAGAGCCCAACCTGTGGGGACAAGAAGTGCCAGGACCTCCCTGAGGGCAGGTCAGCTTGAAGATGTGTTCCTCCTCTGGTCATGTTCCAAAACTGGGTTTAAAAAAGACCCAGAGAAGTGACACTCCCCAGGCACATAGCAAGTGCTGGCTGAATTGAACATGCCAATACCCTGGAGACCTTCCAGACCTGTTTCTTAAAATCCGATCTTCAGACTATCTGTTTCCAACCCACCTGAGCTTCTTGTTAGAATGCAGGTTCCAGAGCCTTCCACAAAATCTACAAAATCAGGGCGGGGGTTCTGAACTACGCAGCTTTTAAAAGCTCCCCAGGTAAGGCTGGAGCAGGCTCAAGTTTGAGAAGAAGCAGTGACCTAGAGCAGAGGTCGGCAAACTATGGTTCAACAGCCCTCACAGCCTGTTTGCTCAGGATCCGTGAGCTAAGAATACTTAATTCCTACATATTTTAATACTGGAGGGGGGGTACTCAATAGGAATAATTCTTTATGACACATGAAATTTCCTATGAAATTCAAATTTCAGTGTCCAGAAATCAAGTTTTATGGGAATACAGCCACACCCATTCATTTCCCTATTATCCATGGCTGCTTTCACGCTATCATGGCAGAGCTGAGTGGCTGCAACAGAGGCCGTAAGGCCCACAAAGCCTACCAAAAGGGCCTCTCTGGCCCTTTACCGAAAAAGTTTGCTGACCTCTGCTTGCCCAAATACTTGCATACTCCTGTTGGTAAAATGTTTTAGCACAATCCTGCCAAATTAGGTCTATTTTATAAGTTACTTACAAGTATCACTTTACAAATGTGGAATGTATATTGTGAACGCACACCAAAATATATAAATGACAAAAGTATGAGATGGAAAAGAATCAGAGCCAAGGTCTTCTCCCTGTACTCTCAGTGGCACGTTGCCCACACCCCTCCTTGAAGACCCCTGGTGGGGTCTATTCATTTTTCAGAGAGGAAACTGGCGGGAAGAGAGCAACCAAGGGAAGAGAGCAACCAAGGGAAGAGAGCAACCAAGGAAACGTGCTAAGGCCCATGGTTTCAGTGTTCCGGGAATGCTGGGTTGGCCTGGGGGTGGGGGAGGAAGTAGGACACAGAGTGACAGAAAAGCTCCCCCTCACCCCCAGAGGAAACTCAGAAAGCAGGACAATGAGAAAAACTGGTCCTGTCCTAGGCAGCCCAGGCCCCGAATTCTCACCAGGCCTTGGACCACTTGCCTGAAAGCTGGTTCTCCTATTCACCAGGATCCTGCCCTGTTTTCTCCCAGTGTAAAATGGAGAGAGGGAGGAGGGACAGCGTAAGGAGTGGGGCAAAGCCTGCCCTGTCTCCTGGAGCAGAAGGAACCCATGATCCTGTGCCTGGGAACCTCTGGTGGAGGCCTGACAGGAGCTGTCCAGCCCGGGCAGCCCCCTTTGGCCATCCACTCCCACTTCCTCTGCTGCCTTTTCTCCATGTCCTGGGCATCTGCTTTGCAGGGAGGGCAAGAGTTAACACTGGGCCAGGCAGTGTTTACATATTAGTAGCTGAGCCAAAGGTCTGAGGGTGTGGCCTACAGAACACCTGCACCCTTGTGCTGGCTTAATGACGGTTCCTCACTTGCAGCCTGGGATGGGAGGACAGGCCAGGCAGCAGCAAAGCCCAGCATGGCTCCAGTCTGGAGGCAGAGAGAGCCTTACTTAGGGGTTTGGGCCCCCTTCTCTCCCTGCTCCTTCCCTTCATGCCCAAGTAGGAAGCAATACCCAAATGGCAAAACAGACTGAGCCTGTCCCAGCCATCCCTGGCCAGACTGAAAACCCATCAGATCTCCCAACCCCCACTCAGAAGAGCACCCAGGAATGAAGTGCTCAAGACCCAGGGCCAGTGGCTTACGGCAAGGGCAAAAGGTGAGTTTCCGGGGCGGCCAGTTACCTCAGTTGATTAGAGCGCGGTACTCACAACACCAAGGTTGCTGGTTTGATCCCAACATGGGCCGTTGAGCTGCACCCTCCACAACTAGATTGAAACAACTACTTGACTTTGGAGCTGATGGGTCCTGGAAAAACATACTGTTCCCCAATAAAAATAAAAATAAAAAAAAGGATAAGTTTTCCTCCAGGCCCACTCCGTCAGTGACCCCTGTCCAAGGGCGGGGGGGTGGGGGGGTAGGGGGGGCAGATAAGGAGAGGAGATACCCCTCCTGAGGCCTCTAGGCTCACAAGGCAAATGACCTTCCGACTTTTGTCCTGAGGGTGGGAAAGTTCAGCTTCCCGTGTTTACTTTCTGTTAATGAAAAGAGGCCTGACCAGGGGACGGGAAGTACATATGTGAAGGCGTACAGAGTCCTGTACGGGCCCTGAAAGTGACAGTAGATGGGTCAGGGGGACAGGTATCCCTGATGCTGGGGGCCCAGCTACCCTGGGCATAACCCCTTTTTGTGGGTGTGACTACCTGCATTAGTGGAGGGGTAACAGAGAGCCCTGAGGTAGAGGATACATCTGGTCACAGCCAAGGCCTGGTGCTATCCCCTCTCAGTGTCCTACAGGCTCAGCCCTTCATCACGGGCTGCAGCGTCTCTCCCATGCCTCACCCCTGGGATGTCACGAGTCCTTCACATACTCATGTGACCTTGGGGGAGTCCCTTCCCCTCTAGGCCTGTTTTCTCATCTGTAAATGATGCCATGGTACCATCTGCTCCCAGGTGGTCCTGAGGCTCCCACCAGCTCTAGCAACCTAACCAAACTCTAGAGCTGAAAGCAAGTATGGACACACGTGTGTTTCACAAAGCTGGTGGAATTGATCTTGCTCCTTAAAAACCATTACGCATGGATAAACATATATAAAATTAAGGCCAGCTGAACCAGGTGGATGGCATAGGGGCAGTCTGAATACGAAAGAACCCTCTCCCCACTGATGTAGGTACCACTTGTTATTATTAACATTAATAACCTTCACATTTGCTCAGCTCTTCACATTATGTTCATAAACGCCCTTTGCATATTATCTTCCTTGGCCCTGATAATACTCACCCCCAAAAGTAAGTCAGACAGGTATACCTTAATTGCCACTTTACAAAAAAGGGTAATGAGGGCTGGCCGAGTGGCTCAGTTGGTTAAGAGCTCGCTCAAGAGTTTGAGCTCTGAGCAACAGCGGTTCGAGTCCAGCCCGAGCTGAGCAGCCGCTGAGCTGCCAACAGGTAGCAGGATGGCTCAGCTAAAAACTAAAAACAAAACAAAACAAAACAAAAAGACAAAACAAAAAAGGGTAATGAGGCTCAGAAGTTAAATGATTTCCCAAAATAGAGCTTTCATTATTCAGTAAGGGCTGAGGCTGGATGGGCCCTTCCTAAGGGCAGGCGTGGAGCAGGGTGACCACATACCCAAGTCTGCCCCTAGCCCTGATTCATGTCTTCTGTTCTGGAATAAATACAAATAGCACCCCTTTCACTCTCAAAGGGGTGATAATCAGAAGGTCACCCTAACTTTGAGAGAAGAGGACGCCAGGCATGTGAACTCAGGAGACCGAGCACAGAGGGGGTAATGAACAGAAAAGAGTGAGGCTGCAACTCCCTTCTGCTTGGGCCCACCTGGATAAAATGTTACAATAGTACTCTCAACTTCCTCTTCCTCCCTTCCCCAGCAAATGAGGAAACTGTCTTATTATTTTGCTGACTCACCTAATAGTTTGAGAAGCAAATAGGCGCATTCAAGGGTGTTGGCACATCTGAAAGGAGCAGAAACGTTTTCCAGACTCCAAGGGCTTGGCTGATCCCTGCTCCAAGCTCAGCTAAGTTCTGATCTCCTAAAAGCCCTGAATGGGGCTCACCATAAGCCCAGGAATGCCAGCAGATCCCCAGCTTAAGAACTGTCCTGGGGCCCCATGGAAGGATGCCACGCTCTCACGGTGCTCATGACATCCAAGCGCATGTGGGTTGAAGGGCCCAGGCCTAAGGGCCCTCCCCATACATCCAGGCCTCTGCTGGCCAGACATGCAGGAGGACTAGTAGAGGGTCCATTCCAAAGTTAAAAAAACAAACATACTTTCGCTGCTAGTTGATGTTCCCTTTTCTCTGAAACCCCTGCTTTCCTGATTGTGGCGAAAAACAAAGGTCTGACTCCACACGTTGCTCTCACATGATTCTACATCACGGCTAATGAGGGAACATCAGGCTTTGAATGGAATAATCAACTCACTTGCCAGGGTCTCTTTTTGTAACGTCTCCCATTTGTTGAGGGCCTATTTTGTTCCCTTATATGCTTTATTCATTTCCTTTTCTCAGCCAGCTCCAGAAACGTATCATTATCATCCCCATTTTACAGATGGGGAAACCGAGGCTCAAGAGATGGTTAAGGAATGGGTAAGTCAGAATTCAGTTCTAACATTATATCCTTCGTTCTCAACCAACACCTAATACTGCTCCCTATTACAGACTAAAACTATTTTGTTTTTTAAACAAATGGAAATCTGTGCTCAATCTCAGAGAAACGTGAGTTAAAACCACAATGAGATACCACTACACGATCAAAATGGTTAAGACGAACCAGTCAGTCTAAGGATATAGAGCAATGGGAACTTTCATTACTGCTGGCAGGAGAGTAAATCAGTACAGCTGCTTGGAAAATTGTTTGGCATTATCTGGTAAGGTTGAAAGAATGTACACTCTAAAACCCAGCAATTCCATCTACACTAATGCTAGGAAATATACACGAAGATGTCCATATACATGGAAACAATCCAAATGTCTGTCTATACCAGAATCCATACAATATTGTATAAGCACAAAACGGAAAACTATCCAGCAATGAAAAAGGATGAGCTATAGCTACAAACACGTAGATGAATCTTTAAACCCTACGTTGCCCAAAGGAAGCAAGATCTAAAAGAACACACGCTATGTGTACAATATCAGTTAAAATGAAACCAGCATTTAGAAATATAGTTACATATTAAAATTATAATGAATAATGTAGTTTTAAAAATTAAGCCACAGGGTTGCCCAACAAACCAGCCTCCTTGTCACTTGACTCTGGGGCTGGAATTTTGTTTGACGTCCCTATTTACTACTGAGTAGGCCCAGACTCTATAAAGACTGAAGCTAACCTCTGGGATATAAGCTGCTAATTATTTTTGACTGATAGAAATGCAAAGGATTTCTGCCTGTAGCAAGGATATCTCCAACTTTTATGGGTTTCTGGTCTTGAAGGCCATTAACCAGTTGTGTAGCCAGCATTTTCTTCCACTGACGAGGCATCGCCTCTGCCTGTCCTCCATCCTCCAGCTAGTTCCTCATAATTAAGTTAAATATATGATAGATGCTCATTACAGGAGAGATGTTTTTAACACTCTGACAGGGATGCAGTAACATGCTGTTTCTTGCATGGTGAGTACACACACAGAAGTGTTGACTGTATGGGTTACTGGGTGTTACATTTCACAGAAAAAGTTAAAGGACACAAAATGATATACAGAAAATCAATATATACGTAAATATAATATATAGGTAAATAGAAACATAGCTTCTCTACTAGAAGGCAGTGGCTCCCACAAAGGGGCCTCAGCAATGAAAGTTTCCCAACCTTTACAGCCATTAGCGCTTATAACCAAAGGCCAGGATTCCACCTTCAGCCCATAGCAGCAAGCCATGGCCTCTCAACCCTTTAGATGCTTTTAATAAGACACAATTACTCACCAGAAATGTATAACATACTAGTATCTTGCCTCAAAATTTTCCACACATTATCCGTACTAGATAATGGCCCAACTTTTCAACTATACTTTACTCCATGTCCCTTCTTTAGCCACAATGTAGAAAGCAAACAGGTCTGCCTTTCAAGTAATAATAATGGACAATATTGATCAAATGCTAACTATGTGACATTTTCCTCACAACCACCTTCCAACGTAGGGCGCCTATGGTCCCCATTTTTACAGATGAGGAAACCGAGGCTCAGCGAACCCTGCCCAGCCCTTGCATGATAAAAGCTAGGATTCTCCTCTCACTGGCTCTTCCCACCTCACCATCTTGCCTCTCAGCAGGACGGATGACAGACTGCACACATCCAAAGCATTTAAACACCACCTAGGGAGACCAGACACTTGTTTTTTAAATGCTCTCACTGGTAGGCCCTCTAGTCTGCAGCATATTCCTCCAAGGAGGCAAATTTTCCTCTCTTTATAAGATGGTCTGATCTCTAGAAACAGCTAAGAGTCATTGGGTGCTAACCTGGCAACTGAGGGACAAGCTATATACAGGAACACTATTTTCGATTCAAAACAAAAGGTGTGGCTCTAAATACCATCTTTCCCAAAACTTTTCTGGAGGTGGGACAAGTTAATAATGGCTCTAAGTATAGTTTAAATTTCTCTTGGAGTTGTGGGATGTGGCCAGGCCTGGCACCCTCTGACTTAGGGCTTGGTGAAGCTTTTTCAGACTCAGGTCATGATTCTCAAACTTGAGTGAGCGCCACAGCAACCCAGGAAATGTGTTTAAAATGCTGGTTCCTGGGCCACACTCCCAGACATGCTAATTGAGACAGCCCAGGGAGGAAGGAAGCCTATAAGCCTGCATTTTCAATAAACCTTCCCCAGTGATTCTCTACAGTTGTTGGGAGGCCCACATCTGACATACTCTAATTGCATTCATTAAAACCAAGAGTCTTCCAGCTTTGCGGTCACACCTCACACGTTCCAGCTAAAGCTGCAAAAGCAGAACCAGGTCAGGTTCAAGTCACCTCCCCCACCTCAGAACAGAGGACAATCAGCTAATTGCAGCCCTGCGGTTAATGATAAGATGGTTATCTCCTTAGGTATGGATGTCTTGGCCACAGCAAGCTCTGTTACCAGGACTCCTCAGACAGTAAGTAACACCTCCAATAACTGGCGGGGAGAACAGAGAAGGGGAGGGAGCAGGTGCCATACGCTGGGTGCCATATTCTGGAAGCCTTCCAGAAAGGGAGGCAGGGATGACTGGGCTTGCTTGTCTCTCCCCACCCCAAACCCACAGGCTGGAAGCAATGAGTGAATGTGTTGGGGGGTTGGGGTGGTAGATGGGGAGCAAGCATCAACGATAACAGACAAGAATCTTCATAATGAAAAGCCACAGAGGCTGGAGAGTGAAGATTCCAGCTTTGTGAGCCAGTCCAGCTTTTCCCCATTACCCAAGGCTTCCTTCAGCCTTCTTTCTTTCCCCTTTTCCTTGTGCTGAGCTCCAAGACACAGACCTTTCCCTCTTCGTTACCTTTTGGCCGGACCCTGGCTCATAAAGAAGCAACTGAGACAGGCTCCCCCCCCCTCCCGTGGGGTGGTGTTAGAGTCCTGGAAAGCATGCCCTCCTAGCCCAAGAGAAGCCCTCCATTTCCTCAAGCCACAAATTTCAAACTGCAGGTCAACAACCCAGTTGTGAAACCCATCCAGTTAAGTCTGCAACCAGCATCTTTACAAAATAAAATAGAAAAGAAATATCTGAGTGCCCTCCAATAGTAAGGACTCTTCCATTAAAGTTTCAATTCTGTTTTCTCTCCAACTAAGCAGGCCTGATTGGTGGGTCACAGTATGAAATGTATCTCATATTGTGGGTGGCAGTCCAAGTTTGAAAGCCATAGTCTTGGGCATGGTTGGTTCTTCTGGCTTGGGTCCTGGCTTCCGAAAGCCACCTGAGCCACTGCTGAAGTCCTCTAAGCACAGCCCAGCTAACCTATAGAAGGAGTGTCCTGCCAAGGAGGTCGGGCAGAGGGATGGGGAGCCTAGAGGTGGATGCTGGTTGGGCTACCTGAAACCCCAGTCCTTCAGCCCAGCACAACACTGGGCAATTCACTGACCCCTTCCCATTCCAGACATGAAGGAAACTGCTTGCCTAGTCCTTCATTTGTAGGACCTCCTGGCCCAGCTGGCTGGGTACTCCCTGCAGCTCTGTGCCTCAAGATCCTGTGCACGGGTCTGCAGCCCATGTTCCACGCTGTGGCTCACAGCAGCACCCCACCCCCACATGCCCAAAGCCCACTAGGCAGCCTCCCCACAAGCCCAGAGCCACACAGGCTGCTAGTCTGTGGCTTGGCCAAGCAGGAAACTGAGGCCTGTGCCCTGGCCACAGGTCCCAGGGGGCCCATTGATCTACCACCCACTCTCCACACCTAGCCCTGCCAGTCAAACACTGCTGACCATCCTGGGCCCAGGAGGGCCCAGATAAGGGGGTGGGGCCAGCAGGCAAAGCCGGCAAGGGTTTTTACACAGGAAGGAAGAGCAAGCCAAGGTGGGGGAGGAAGTTGAAGGAGGGCGGAAATGACTGCAATGTCAGCACCCAAACGCAGACAAGGGGGAGGCTGGCCCCTCCCCACACCTACCACCCAGTTTTGACCTTTGTGCTCAGACAAAACAGCTAGCCTGGACCCTAACACCTACCACAGCCAGGGGGAAAAAACCCCACAAAATTTCAAAGAGAGTTAGGGGGTGATGGAGCACACAGGCCCTCCCTGCAACAGCCCCCAAATTATAGTCCTTTGAAGGAAGAAATGCTACGTGGGCAGAAGGTAGCAAAGGGAGAGTCTGGGGGGGCACAGAGAAAAGGCATCTGGGAACCCCAACCTCTTCCCTCTGCTCAGGCAGCCATCAGCCAGGCCCACCCAGGTGCCTCCTTCATGCCAGCCTGCCTGGCAGGGAGGGAACGAAAAGGAAGGGCAGTAGGTCAGTGTGGGTACCATGGAGGCAGAGGATCTTACATTACTGATCTGGTCCTGGGTCTTCTTGATTCTCTGGAGTTCGGGTGTGTCTGCCACCACGCTGAAGCCTTTGCCCTTGTTCTTCTCAAACTCTTCCTTATAGCGCACCTGGAGGACCAATGCGGGGAGACAGGTGAGAGTCAAGCTAGGGGAAGCAGACAGGGCCCCAGCCTGTGCCCACCTCTGAGAAAGCAACCAGCCAGGAGAGAGATCCTGACCAGAAATCCCCCTGTAGTGACAACCATCCCCACCCCACAACTCAAAGCAGAAGCCTTAACCAAAAAGTGTTCGGCTAATAATGCTAATCCATTAATACGTCTTCATTGTATTCGGAGTGCCAAGTGCTTTACGCGAACCATCTCATTTAAATCTTACCGTGTACTATTATTAGCTCCGTGTTACAGAGAAGGAAACTGAGCTGCAGCAAATGTCCAGAGCCACCAAGATGCAGTCTCTTCTGCCGGGCCTCATCTGCCTGACCCCTGACCCTGCACTGCCAGCCCATTGTGCCTGAAAGCTATAGGAAGAAGGCTCTTTCCAGAGTTCCAAATCCTGCCCGAGCCCTCACCCTAGCCAGGATATGGCCCTACTCATCAAGAGCCTGGGGGAGTTTTTAAGCTACCAGCTGAATGAGGGCTGTGCCAAGAGACAAAGTTGGTGCCTGGAAATGAGGGCGGGGAGACAGCCACTCGGAAGACTTAATCAATGGGCCTTTGACAGGCCCCGGCAGCTTCCTGGAGCCTGCCAGGCTAGTTTCTGAGGTCAACACCACAGGAAGGGACAAAATTGGTAGGGGTCAGACAATACTTCAGAACAGGGTTCCAAGTTCCGGAGAAGAACCCTACCTGCCTCCCTCTTCTGGGAATTCTATGGACAATCGAGTACTAGAGATACTCAAGTCAGACAGCAGAAAGGACTTCTCATACACCAAAGGAACTGAAAAATGAGGATAAGCTTGTACCCCCCACCCTGGGAGGTTTAAAGCACAGATTCGAAGCTGAAATGCCCATGGACAGAGCACCGTTCCGTGGCTTCCAGAGACTTCACTGTCCACCTCAGCAGCCAGCTGTTCCAAGCCCCACCAGCTGCCTGGATTTCCTCCAGCGGGGGGCTGCACGGTCCTGGAAGCAGGTCAGCCCAGGACATGAGGCTCAGGGCCTTGGGAGTTTCCAGGATGACAAACCCAGGCAGCTCCCAGGCATGGATGGAATCACCCAGCCACAGTACTGAACTTCACTATGACCCAACCGACAACACACACGTACACAGCCATGGCCCCACCTGTCAGCTCCTCTGCACACCTTGGGGTCCTTGTTTGTCCCCTGGAGCCCCAGCTCATCCATCCATGGGCTTCATCCTAAAAGGTTCCAGAGACTCCTTTGTTTTGATCCAGAGTAAAAACAAAGGCCTGGACATGCTAGTTCCCATCAGACCAGAAGTTAACATAAGGAACACAGGTACCAGCCCAGAACTACCCAGCAGCAGCCCATCCTGGGCCAGCATGGTGACTCTTAGTGCTGGGGATGGAGAGGCACCCTCTGGAAAAGGGGCATCAGGGCAGGTAAGGCACTTAAGAGTCAGAAAAATGTAGCTTCAGATACAGAAGCCCCAAATCCAAGGCCTTAAGCCTTGGTTTTCTCACTTGTAAAAGAGCTATCATAGGAATCATTGGGAGGGGGCTTCCTATCACCAAGCATGGGCGAAGAGCCAGAGGGAGCTGATACTAACACAGGCTCCGACTCCCGAGTGCTGAACAATCTTGGGCAAATGACTTCACCTATTGGGCCTCAGTTTACAAATCTGTAAAACAGGGATCATAAAACCACCCATTCCAATCAATGGTGCAGATTACAGACAGTGGCTCTAAAGCAGCTATCACAGCATGGAGCGCACGGCAAGGCTCACCACATACTGATAAGAGGAGTTGTGAAAGTGCTTTGTCAACGTTAAAGTGCTGAACAAATGCCAGTCCCCCACTCCTTCCTCTACTTCCTGGCCTGGCAAGGGTCAGGCCCCTAATCCAGGGGAATAATTACCATGGCAACACGGTGATGACATCAGTGGGTTCCCAGGCTCAGGAATTACCTCTCCCTCCCTGCTGGGGAAGGATAATTCACTTCACTTCTGGCACAGGCGCCCAGAGAGGGCGGGTGTGAGATGGAGTGAGGATGAAGAAAAGACACAGGCCGGGGCTCAACACCACTTTATTGTGTGTCCCTAGGCAAGTCAGTCCCCATGTCTAGGTCCCCTGAGAGGGACTGGCTAGCTGATCTCTAAAAGCCCTCCCAGCTCTGGAGTTTGTGAATATTTTTAAGCACCTGCAGGTCCTGACTGGAGAATCGAGGTGGGAGAGATTCTGAGAGGCTGTTTGGTACTGGATTGGGTGACAGGTATAAAGTGGGGAGTGAGGTATGTGGGAGGGACCTGACTGAAGTCCCTCCATCAGGTCTCATTACCCAATCAGGAATGTCCGCCCTCATCTGGGATGGCCAGGATGTGATGGGGGTCACTGAGGAGGCAAAGGACCTGCCCAAGGTCACTCGACCCAGTTGTTGGTAGGGTCAGGGTGCAACTCAGTGCTGTGGCTGAATAACTCCATGCCTGGGAAGCGCCTGGGCCTCTCGTCCTGCAAACTCCCAAGATCCAGCCAACACTGATGCCTGAGGCTCCTCAAGCCCAAACAACCACCGCCCATGAAACTCCACTTTTTCGATGTAGATTTATTAAACATTCTCCCAGGATCTGTCTTGTTCATCACTTATCCCAGCAAATAGTAGGTACAAATAAATGTTTTTTGGGGGGTAAATGATGAATGAATCGAATGCAGACACAAAAATCTCTAGACAGGCAGCACAGTTTGGAAAAGAACTGCCTTGTTGCCCAACAAAAGAGGAAAGATCCTGATTTTTTTAAAATGTATTGAAAAAATACAATACCAACGATTTTCACTTATTAGGTGCCCCATGATATGCGGAGCCCACATACAATGTAACCCACCCACTTCTAACAACAACAACAAATCAGGTTTGAAATTTAGACACATACAGATGAGGAGGAGAGCTAGTGACAAAGGTCAGTGCTGGAAGCAATCATCGGGTCATTGTGTCTATGCTTCAACTTCATTATGTCCAACTTCCCTTCCCTTCCCTTCCCTCTCCTCTCCTTTCCAGGAGAATGGTAATAGCAAACATTTACTGAGTGCTGACTCGATGCCAGGAGCTGTTCTAAATGCCTGATGTATCTAATCTAACATCCTCGCAACCTTTGGAGAGAGAGAGGTATTCCGATTTTACAGACGAAGGCACTCAGGCTCAGAGAGTTTAAATAACTTGCCCCAGGTCACACAGCTAACAGTGGCAGATCCAGGATTCAACCTTTGGCCAGCCAGCTCAGGTTAAGAGTCACACAGGATAGGTATGCTGTCTGCAGGTCCCAGGATCCAAGATAAGAGAGCAGGAACCTGCCCCAGGGCAGCCATGGAGCTCTCCTGTCCCATGTGACAAGTCCTATGCTGTGCTGGGATTGCAAAGCACCTGAAGACATGGGACAGTGAGGGGAAAAAGAAAGAGACATTCTCCTCATATTTCTGCCTGGGCTCAGGGGGCTGCACAGACACCCTCAGCTCAGCCCCACCCCAAAGATGCTGCATCTACTCAGCATGGGGTGGGGGGTGGGAGAGCTGCGGGGTTGGGGTGGGGGTGGGGGTGCTAGGGCCCAGATGCCAGTTCTCTGCCTCAGCCAGGCCTGGGCAGGACCACCCAGAGGGTCATTTCTGGTCAGCTCTGTGGTTACCTCCCCCGCAGGAGAGGCTCCAGGTGTCCCAGACACCCAAAGTACTACTTGGGGAACCAATCTGGAGATGGAAAAACAAATAAAGTTGAAATAGCACAGGCAGCTTCCCAAAGACTGAGTAGGGTTGAGACACACTGCTGCAGGCCCAGGAAGGGGCCCTGGAAAGAGAGCAGCTGACACTCTGGTGGGGTGGGGCAGGGTAGGCAGAGGAGGCTCCCACTTCCCTTCCTGCCAGCCACAGGCAGCTAGAGCCAGCCCTACCCCCCACGGCGGCCACAGGAACCAGAACCTGTCACCATCCTCGGTCAGGCCAACTCAGCCCTTCCAAACCCCAGACCAACAGGCCCAGCCCCCGACCTCTAGACAACTGGGTTTTTGCTGTCCCATTTTACTAGAGTTAAAAACAAACAAAAAAAGCCATGAAAGGCAAATGGTCAGGCTCAGACCACACAGCTAGGGGAGGTGGAGGGGAGACAGAACCAGGCTGCAGAGGGCAGGTTCTGTCTCCATGCTCTGCCTACCTCCCCCCCCAGCCCCCGAGGAGCCCAACTATAGGAGATTAGAGCTATGCTCTCAGTGCAAAGCCCTGACTCCCAGGGCTCACATCTCTCACAGCAGAAAAGGATGAGATCGGGTCCCTCAGTTCCACCTCCCTCCCTCCCTGCCCCCAGCCCAGCTCCAAGCCTCTCAAAGTTATGTCTGTGGGGCCAAAATCCACCATCAGAATCACCAGGGCAGTCAAAACGCAGATTCCTAGGCTCCACCCAGAATTCCCTTGGGTGGGTCCTAGGAACCTGCATTCTAACAAGCCCTCCCAGTCCCCTCTGGTGACTGGTGCATCCTGTGAATTAAGAGCATGGGGCTGGGGACCCCAGTAGGCCGCAGAACTGCTAACAGCAAAGGGCTTGAAACCGGTACCTGGGCAAGTGGCCTCTCTAAATCTCAGTGTCCCCATCTATCCAGTGGGGATTACAAGAGTCCCGCCTTCATCAGCTGGTTGTGAGGATTAAATGAGGGCCAGGCCTGGCCCTCAGTGAGGACCTAATGGAGAGTGACTGCTATTCTCATGATTTCCCCAGCCTGCCTGAGAGTCAGACGCCCAGAAACCCAGCTGATGACCCAGAGGGCCCCTGGGGGACAGAGGGCACCCCTCAGGGATCAGGTTCCAGGGGCAAAAAGAGCTGCAGCCAAGCTTTTGTGGGACCAACAAAGGCTGAGGGAATTAGTCCAGTTCAAATTTCTCCTCCCGAGAGTATGGGCGTGTGTGTGTATGTGTGTGTGTGTCCCTTGCCTCTACCTAAGCGTGTGCACACACTTCCATACCTGTGGACCCGCACCTTCCCAAAGATCCACTGACCCCTCCCACGCCTCTTCTTCCAGGTCCCTCTGATGAAGCTTCTACCACTCGGGGCTCTGACTGCCCCTCTCAAGCTATGGGTTGAATAGAGGTCGCCCCACGATGTCTTGGCCTGCCTGCCCTATGATGTCCCCTTCACCTCTGGCCCCACTAGGCTCCCTATAAGATGGAGAGTCTGGGGCAGTAGTTGGGGCCTGGCTAGGGTCTGGTCAGAATCTTCCCTGTGCAGACCAAGCCCAGGCCCGAGGGCTATCTCAACACCTCTTCCTGCCGGCTGGGCCACCTGGCCCTCCTCAGCTGGCAGAGGTCTGGTGTCCTCACCACGTCCCCTAGTAAGTGCAGCTTTCACCACAGTGGGGGTGGGGGCCGGGCTGGCAGATGTGAGCTGCTGTCAGCTTCCCCCACTTGCTCCCCATCAATGTGGGCCCCCCACGGGCTGCACAGGGTCAAGGTCACTGTACTCCAGAGTGAAAAAAACTAGAGGCCGGATACTAAAACTTCACTTACTGTGTATGTCCACAGGCAAAGGCTGATGCCTTTCTCAGCTTTGGTTCCCTTATCTGACTCCCAGAGTAAGGTCAAGGATAAATGAGGTAAAGTAATTCAAAGCACTTGCTAAGCTACAAACGTTCTCACCAGCATAGGGGACTATCAGGTCTATTATCACGATATAGTTCTCCTTAGGGAGCTGGGCAGAGAACCAGAAAGAACACAAGTCTCAAGAGTTAGACAAACCAGCATTCAGCCTTCAGCATCTATTTCCTCCTCCACAAAGTGGGAACAATCCTCTCTTACTGCATGGCGCACACCACTCCCCACACAGCAGGTGCTCAGGAAAATCAGGCCCAAGGAGACAAAGGCAGACAAGCGACCCAGGCTAAGGCTCCCTTCGCAGTCTGCCCTCTGAAGGGAGTAGGAGGTTTGGGGACATGGCTACGGAGGGTGGGCTGTGTAACCTCAGACTGGCATGAGCCTGGAGAGGTGAGTTCCCTCTTTAGAGGGTGGGATTGAGTAGAGAGGGGGTAAAGGGGAACAGCTGCCTGGAGGAGGTGGGCTTCAGGGTCCCACGTGACATTTCCCAGAGTAGAAAAAATCAGACACCTACACCTTTCCAACCCACTTTAGGTAGGAAGGCGGGGCATGCTCTCCCCACTCCTTTGATAAAGCCAGGAAATATGAAGTAACTGGGGGCAGGGGTGGGAGCAAGGAGACAAGGCAAGTGCTAGGATTTTAGCACCTTGGCGTTGCTGAGTAACCCAAGGGGGAAGAGACCTTGCCAAATGCAGGGGTTACAACAGCCCTTTCTCCCCAGCACCGGCCCCTCCCGCTCACCTGACTCTGGAGCTCGCTCTGTTGCTTGAGACGGAGGTTTTCCGGGGTGTCGGCCACCATGGTGAATGACTGCTTGGGGTAGTGTCTACAGGACAGAAAAAACACAGGGGAGGGTCATTTGGGGAAAAGGCAGGAATCTCTGGGCTTCCCACAGACCCTTGATTCTCTCCTGGCAACTTCCTCTTACCCACAGGCAGCCCCTTCCCCTGCCCCAGCAGCAGGATCATGATGTCCACTGTCCACGCCGAGGGAAAAATCAGGCCCAGCTCAGACTCAGCCTGGGCTGAACTGGGAAAACAACAGGTTTGAGTGGCTGGCCAGCCACAGGGAACTGTCCTGAGCCAAAGGGAGGCCATGGGGACCCCCTAAGGGTTTCAGATCGCCCTTGTTTAGGGATAATCTATGCTTTAGAGCCTACCACACAGGGAAGTCAAGGGGGCGGGGCCAGCCTGAGCCTACCACACAGGGAAGTCAAGGGGGCGGGGCCAGCCTGGGTAGAAGGTGAGCATGGGGTCAGGACTCTATTTTCAGCTAAGACCAGAAATGAAGAACAACCGAGCAGAAGAAGGTCAGGAGGGATACAGAGACAGAAACAAAGGGGAAAAAGGACATGCATATCCAGGGGGGCTTCCTGGAGGAGGTGGTGAGACAAAAACCCGCACACATCCAAAGTGGCACTTCAAAGGACTAACAAGGTCCAACTTAACAGGAGTATAGGCAAGAAGTCACCTTGATGCCAGAAAAGAGGTCACCCTCGGGTGACAGATAACACTGTAACAACGGTTGATGTTTCCCCTGTGCTAAGGATGTACATGCCCTAGTTCATCAAATTTTCACAACCACCCTATTGTCCCCCTTTGACAGATGACAGAACAGAGGCTTAGAGAGATTAAACAATGTAGCCAAGGCACAAGGCCAGTAACTGCTGGCATCCAGGTTGGCACCCA